ATTTAGCAGATTAAATTGGATAGCACTGTATTTTTCTCTGGCTTAAAAATGTAAGGAAAATCATCTCACATAAAAATAATTGCATAAGCATGTAACATTTTGAAGAAAGAATTGCCGCTCTGACCTGTCATGTTTACGTTCTGTTTTAGAAGTGATCTGATTGTTTCTTCTGGAGAACCAAAGGTGATATGAGCATCTCTGCAGTCAGTGGAGTTTCTTCCATGCTATGAAGGAGTGTTTTATTTTTTCTCTCCAGTTTTTTAAAGATTTCTTGAATATCTTTTTTGGAAGAACTTTAGTAAAACCAGCAGAAGAAATGAGGGGAATAGACTTGGATCACCATTCTGATAGCTTTCATCACTAGAAAAATCATGCTTCACGTGCGTTACTTAATATGGCTATTTCCAACAAGCTTTTTTTGTTAGTAAATGAATATTTCTGCATTCCTTAAGACACAAGACACTGGAATCTGAAAGTAACGGGCTGATTTGGGTGGTGGGACTGATTATTTTTTCTTTTTAAAAAAGTTGGGTGTTGGTTTAAAAAGCATAATTGTAAAATTGGCAAAGAATCTTTTACACTTTATGGTTCTAATACTTGAAAAAGAAATGCCTCATTGCTCTACAAGTAGAGTTAATGGGGTGTTTTATTTAAACCTGTTGGTTTAAATGTTATTGCAGAGAACTATAATTATGGGGGCGAACTATAGGCTTCTGTATCAGGTTCTTGTAAATGTAATTCCTACAGGGACATTCTGTAAATTGAGACGTCACTATGATCTTCTCACATTTTCTCTAAAAACACAAAACAAGAAAGGTTTTAAAATGTGAAAATTTGAAAGCATTATTTTTTCATGGACAAGAGGATAACCTATTGTTCTCCTAGATTATGTATTTATGGATTTTGCTCAGTACAGAAATAAACCATTTGATTGAATAAATTAGAAGAATGTGGTAAAAAAAACACTGCAAACTTGATTTTTTTAGTTACATCCATATTCACAATACTATAAAAGATGTGTATGCATATGTGCACGCACTTGTGCACACACATACAAGGAAATACCTTGTTCTGAGTCCTGTAAATTGCTGCTGTTCCCAATGATGGAAGACCTTTCCTTTGCCTTATCAGACTTTTGAAGACTGTGTGAAACCTGGGATATTTGAGTTTTGGATGATGATGCAGGTTCAGGGATTTTTGGGGTTTGCTCGTTTCAGAGCAAATGGAAAATGGTCATTTGTGCTTTTTTATGTAGTGTGTGGTTTTTATAAAGCAGTGCAGTTTGAGTGATAAGAGGAGTGATGCAGGTTGCTTTCTCTTTAGTTTGATGCTGATTTCTCCTGTCATTCATTGTTCCATCCCACACTTTTGGTTGCTGTTGTGCAGAACTGTAAAATCTTGCACGTTTTGTGCTTTGCTAAACAATGCTGTTGGAGGCAGAGCTCGCTCTGGGTGTTTGAGTTTGCCAGAGGCTTGAGGCATTGCTCTCTGAATCAGTGAGAAGATCCTTGGGTAGGGGAAATGGAGGTTCATGGGCTCTCAGCTCCTGCTAACAGTAAATTTACCAGTAAGATTCCTGCACTTGCCTCTAGTGAGCACTGAGCAAGGCCTCTGGGAAGCTGTGCAGAAAGTCTGTGCTAGCAGAAGAAATCCTCTGTGACAAAAGCTGAAGAATTTTTGAAAAAATTTCTGCTGCTGCCGAGTGTTCGTCTTATAGAGGAGATGGGACAAAAGCAATGGAAATCAAATGAAAGAGACTTCATCTGCCAGAATATTTATGGAAGGGAAAAAACAGCCATTCAGTCAGAGTGCTTTCAATAGTAACTTGTGACACAGTAAAATGAATTGGGTTCCTTTCTTGCTTTCTTTAGTTTACCATGTACAGAGCCACAATATTTTGAAGTGTCCAAAATATGTAGTTTTTCTTTAAAACTATATATAGCATGTAAGTACCAAATAAAACTTGTTTGAAATATTTATTTCTACTTATATTTTTTTCATTTTCTCACAAAATTGAAGCAAGAGTCAATCTCTGATGGAAAACTCTTCTTGCTACTCATGGTCTGCTTAAAATTTTGCTTCATATTTTCTCTAATTTCTTTACTAAAAATCAGTACAGAGACACTTGCAACAAGAAAGCAAGCAATGAAGTAGGCAGTTACATTTAGCTTCAGTTTTAAGTCTTAGGATTCATTTAGGATCAGGTTTAAATTGTGTTGATTTTGAGCTATTTAGGATTGGTTATAAATTATTCTAGTCTATTTTTTGGGGGACTTCAGCACATTTGCTTCACTGTTTGTAGAAAAATGGGCTGATGGGCTGGCTTTATTTCTCACATTTACTTTGTTTTTTTGCTTTGATTTTTTTTTTTTTTTTTTTTTTTTTTAGCAGGGCTGGATTAAAAACAGTTTGTCATTACAGTCAATCCAGGTTTGCTTGAAACGAGAGCGAGAATTTCCTGTTTCAGGGCCCTGACATACAATATAAAACCAAGGGAATTGAGAAGTAGGTGTATGAAATTCTAAAAAAGGATTTAATAATGAATTTTTAAATCTTTTGGTTAAACCTCTTTTAATGCAGGGAAAATAGTTTCTCTTCTGTTGAGTGTTATTCTTGACAATAAAATATGGTATGGGAGGAAGGCCAGCTCCTCTGCCTACTATTGCAACTAGTTGTGTTGTTTGCACCATGGGGGACAGGGTGGAACTACTCTGTGAGGAAGAAGTAGCAGGTGCAGCCAGCTGTTCTGAGGGCTGGGAGCAGCAGCCTTCCCCAGCAGAGAGCTGTGTGCTCTGGGAAGGCTCAGCTCCCTGCTCCCATCTCCACAGCACAACATCCACGCTCACAGGGATGACACTCTGTGCATTATTTCAGTACATCACAGCTGCTGCATTGCTCACCGCTCGCTCTCTTTGCTTCATGTCTGTTACCTCCTCATTCCTGATGAAGAATACTTTGTTATTTGCTTTCTTGCTAAGACCTTGAAATAATGTTTGAGATTAAATACTAAGAATACAGATACAGGACACATTTTAATATCATCACTTAATGCACTGTTTCTTTTTGGAAACTGATCTAAAATCAGCCTTGGAGGTGGTTTGCAGTTTGAGATTCTTTTGTTCCCAGGTGTGTCATTGAGCCATGTCCTCTATTTTAGAAAGTTCACCTGCCCAAAGCTGAGCACATTATTTGTCACGTGAGATTTCAAAACAGGATTCCTGTCATGGATGAATATTGAAAATGCCATATTGCTTTATCCAAAGTTTCTGTCTACCCTGCACTTTCATAGGCCTTTTTACTGCACTGAGTGTGGTTTTGGTTGTTTTTACTTTTTTTTTTTTTTTTTTTGTTTGTTTGGGTTTTTGTTTTGTTTTGGGGTTTGGGTTTTTTTGGGGTTTTTTTTTTTTGTTTTGGGGGTTTTTTGTTTGTTTGTTTTTGAGGGTAGGGGCATTGTTTTGTTCTGCTTTTTTTCCCAAACAGTACCATTGGAATGAACTTGCCGATATTAAAAGAAATAATTATCAAAAATGCCTCCCTTAAGCACCAAAATTAAGTTCAGAGATTTGAGCCACAATAAAATGGAACATTGAGCTCTTAACTGACAGAATAACTTTTTTAAACTATTTTTTTAATCTCACTTTTATTCCAGTTTGTACCCAGTATCAGCTCTAAAGCTCTATGTGCTCTACATTAAGTTATGAGTTGGTCAGAAGCACCTCAAAAGACAGTGTGCTGCTTTTGGCTGGGGTAGAGTTAATTTTCTTCACAGTAGCTCAAAGGGGGGCATGTTTGGGTTTGTGCTGAACACAAGGTTGGTAGCACAGGGATGTTTTAGTTACTGCTCATCAGCGCTTGCACGGAGTCTGCCTCTCACACCACCCCACCCACCTGGGCTTGCATAACAAGTTGGGAGGGGACAGCTGGGACAGGTGACCCCAGCTGACCATAGGGACATTCCATGTAACATTGTCATGCAGGGCATGTAAAGCTGGGGGAAGGAAGAGGAAAGGGGGGGGATGTTTGAAGTTACAGTGTCTGTCTTCCCAAGTAACCATTACACATGATGGAACCCAGATTTCCTGGAGATGGCTGAACATCTGCCTGCCCACAGGAAGTATATATGTAAGAAAATAAGTTGAATTTAAACACAACTACCTTTTTATTGTTCTTTAACTCCATTTAACATGAAGTATCAATATCAAAATATAACAAAAATTCCTAATTTTGTCAAATATTTTCACTCATCTCTTGTTGCGAGTAGCTTTGGAAATAATTTAACATTTGCAGAACACAATTCTCTACTTAAACACATATCTCACCCAAATTATTCCTGGTTCCTGCTGTGTTCTGTACTTGCTCTGTGCAACATTTCCTTGCCTTAACGTGCCTTTGCTCTTCTGCTGGAGAGTAGTGCCTATAGTGTGGACAAGGCTCAGCTGTAAGGCTTCACCCATTATTGTTTCTCACAAATTTCTTGTACTTTGAGAATTGTTCCTCAGCAGTTACTTTCTGCAGTAACCTTTTTGTAGTTTTCTACCTTTATAGTATGGGTTGATTCAATTATTTTCTAAAGTCCTTGGAGTGTGCTCTGAAATACAGGACATGGAACAGAAACAGAATAAAGATGAATGCAGACCTGCATAGCTGAGAGATGCCTCATCAGTGGAATCAGCCTGTTGCACAAATAAAACCTCATTAATACAGTACTGGTTTTTCTGAAGAGAGGGTGAGGAAACCAAAAGCAAATAATGGAAGGTTAACCAAGCATAACAGGTGTTTTTCAACAAGTAGCCATGTCCTCGAGCACACTTAAGCAGCCAACCAAAGGGTGCAAGGAATTGTGTTTTGACCTGCTCCAGTTCTTGTTATCGGGACATCTCTCTTGTATGACGAAACTGCAAGTAGCAGGAAAATTACAGGAACCAAGGAAAAGAGTTGTTTCCTCTGAAAGTTCAGGCCCTTGGATCTGGTAAGTTATTATAAACCATTTGGCTTAAATATTAACTATCTTCATGGCACATAGCTGCCCTAAGGAGCTCTTGAGTTTCTTCTGTTTGCTGACGGACTTGCTCAAGGAGTTTGGCCATTTGGCTTTTTCTGAATGCTAATGAAAAGTCTGGATCTGAAGAGGAATAACAGGTGTTAGGCAACCTGCTGTTTTTCCCTATATTCTAATGCAGATGCATATAAAACTTATTTTTCAGGTTAGATACAGTTGGTTGGTGGTTCTTATTAGAGGTAAGGCAGAAAAATACTACACAAAGCACATAAAAATTCAGTTTTCATCCCTACAACCATTCAAGATTGCTGCTAAATTCTCCTGACCCAGATGTATAAATCTCAGTTGCCAAATTCAGCCTTATGCAGCAGCTGCCTATCTAGATATAGTAGGGTTTTGGCTCTGGCTCTACATATGTAAAGATATGTGCTATATACAGTTATTATCACATTATAACCCTCATAAATACTCAACTTTTATCCAAAGACAAGAAGACTAACTTAACCCAGCATAATATTAAGTAATGGACTTTGAAGTATGAAGATGTGAGACTTCCCAGCTATCAGCTAATCATGCAATTTCCTTACTTGCTTCCTTCATCAAAATAAACTAAAATCACATTTGAAAAACTTTTAGGTTGCATCTAGTGCCAAAAATTCTCATATAGGATAAGATTTTCCTGAAGTCCTGTTTCCCTGCTGTTCTGAATGCCTTTAGTTTTAAAGCAAACAAACAAAATCCTCCTGCCTTTATTGCGAGATACTCTTAAAAGAGCTGCTTAAAAACATGTGAGGTAACAGCTACCCTTGAGACTATTCTGTTTTCTTAAGTGAGCAGAACTAGTCCCTGGAGAAGTCTGCACTGTCAGTGGTTGGACTCGTCTTAGAGGTCTTTCCAACCCTAATGATTCTGTGATCTCTGTTACTAAGCAGTGCCTGATGCTGCTGATGATGCAGGCAGCCTTGGCAGGAAGGACATACCTGCTTGTAGTCTGCAGAGTGTGGAGATGCCCAGCTGCTGAAAACGGACCTCTGGGTGGGTAAGAAAATTCTTGAGGTAGGCTTGAATCTCTCCAATGTGATGCTTCCACAAAAGCATCATTTTTTCTGCATAAATGGGAGAACCACTGGAGATCAATACAAGCCTTTAAACACTTTGAAAACTGATTTTTGTAACAACATTTCAATAATGACTAATTCACCTTCAGCTAAAATCAACATTATTGCAAAGACTGGCAAGGGACTTCCCTGTACTACAGCTTCTGATAATACTTCAGGTAAATAAAAAGATGAGTAGGCTGCTGTGCTGGGAATCTGATCCCTGTGCAAGGGGCCTGCTGATTTACAGACTGGTTGGCCAGGTAGGTGAAGCTATCCATTAGATGATTATGCTGTTGGATTCTGTTCACTACCTGAGAAGAGAGTCTGCTCTGTTGCAAATCCTCTATGCTAGAAATGAAACAGATTTGCATTTTCCCTTACTGGGGACTCACCACAAATTTCAGTTTTTCTTCTGTCTAATGTCTAAAATCTAACCATACCTTTCTAGAGAATGTGACAAGTATCATCTGAACACCTTTTTCTTGCACCTTTCTTAAAGGCTCTGAGCTGCATGAGGCAAGTATTTAAGCATAAAACTGTTTTCTACAGCTAAAAATAATTCTATCTCATTTCATTCAAATTTATTCTCTCTCATTGAAACTTGAAAAATTTTGGCTACATTCTTAAAACCACTTTACTTCACTGCTCCTGCTAATTTAGTCTAGAATTTTATCAGCAGGATTTGGTTCAATAAGAGTTTTTTTCTTGCTGGTTAGGGAGCAGAGTTAGTCTAAAATTTTGGAACACAGCCTCTGCTGTCTGTGGGGGATGCCATCACATTTTACATACTGAGAAAGAAAGTCAAACAGAAAGATGTAACCTTGTTTGAAGTGACCCTTGTCTGAAACACATTCTCATCTCTCCCATGGTGAGGAGTATGTTAATGGTCTCCCACCTTCCTACTGAAGTTGTTTGCAAGGACCTCAGAATTGGCTGTGGACCAGCCCTGCAGAATGGCAGTTCTTGAAGAAGGCAAAAACCATGTAAATCAGACCTTTATCTGTGGTCCACTTTCATCCCTGGAGTTTCTTGTACATTTAAGGACTGTTTTATTTCAAGGGTGACTATAGACACTTGTACTCTAAAAAATTTGTAGAGACCAAATGGGGGGACGATAGAGGATTATTTAAGGTTGTTCAGTGCCTGACAGTCCTTTGGGAAAAGGCTAATTTCACTCCAGACAGCCATAAGTCTCTTTCAAAGCACAGTTAATCCTGTGTGAGTTACCGTGACCGATCATGTGCAGGATGATGGAGGCAGCATGAAAGGATGGCTCAGGATGTTCCCGTTGGCCAGCCAGTCTCACCAAGCACTTTGTCAAAGGTTCATCCATCCACTGGACCATGTGTAACATGGCTTCTTCTGGAAGGCAGAAAGGGAAGAGACTAGTCTCTAAATAGAAACTTCAGTGTCAAAGAAGTGAAGCTGAGAGGTCTGCCAGAAACTGCTGAAATTGTGAATCCTTCATGCAACTGGAGAAGCAAAATAAGTGCTGAACTTGGTTAATAAGTATGTTTGGGTTGTTAAAAAGGGTCATGTTCTGAGGTTATGCTCTCAGTAAGGTAAGGCCATAGATTTGGTTCATATTTTGTTGGCTTTTTGTTCTGCAAAAATGAATCACTTTATGTGCAAGACCCACTCTTGGCCTACTGGACTCAGTCTGTCCAGCAGCTACTGTGCTCCGCTCGCAAAATTAAATGTGACGTGTAGCCAGCTGCATGGCCATTATACCAGATAAAAGAGAAGACTTGTTTGACAGACATTATCCAATGCTGGGGCATGTTGGGAAAATTTACATTTGTCCTTTTTGCTATAAAGAGTGCTGTACCTTTCATGAGTGCCAATTTGGTATCTCTGATACCAAATCCTGAAAATCCATGTGCAAAAAATTTCAAGATATACCTACTTCGTATTTTAGACTTTTATATCAGTTTCTGCAATGATAAAATGATTTCAGCCTGAGAAACTGGGAAATGTTACAAATAGAAGTAGACAGGCCATGTACAGCAGTGAAGTTCAGCAAAAAAAAAAAAAAATTAAAGATTTTTAAACAGTTGAACAAAAGTGCAGACAATGGAGCCCACGTATGCTGCCAGTCAATTGGATTTTTTTCTTGAAACTTACAACTAAGCAATGAATTTAAAAGGAAAGACTTGGGCCGTGTGTCCAGCTGTGCTCGATCTCCTATTACAATTAGTTAAGGACGTGCACTTCTCTGATTCAGCTATTCATGGAGGGTTGCTGCCATACCTTGCTTCGCTAGCTCAGCAAGGCAGCATGTCACGTAACGAAGGGAGTCTTCCTGAGTGTCGGTCAAAAGCATGGTCTGGAGGAGACCTTCGACACAGCGGCTCTCAGTGATTCTCTGCCACAAGAGAGAGATCCATGTTTAGCACTTCCATTGTGGTTTAGTGGTGTCTGGGCGCTTCAGAAGCACTCCTCAGTACCTCAGAAGTACTGAGATGCAACCAACAATAATGGAAATGTCTCCTCCCAGATCTACCACAACCAGGTGAAAACACCTTGGATTGTTCAGAGATCACCTGTAATGAGGTATGTATTTTATAGATTGATTTGAAATCAGATAGGAGACTTTGCCTGTGCTGACTTGGACTAAAAGCAAAAAATGAGACCAAGAAATTAGTTCTGAATGAGTCAGCTGGAGGTGACTGGTTGCTAGCGAAGTTGAATCATGAAGTCATCAGCTCTCTGGGACGCCCTAACAGTGGAAGCTGCTCATGGCTCCCTAAGTGAGCTCAGGTATCTGTTAGCAAAAGGGAGTATCTTTTTCTGATACTCATTTTATGCTGCATTTTATGCTGCGGTTTTTTACTTGCTGCTTAGAGGTTCAAGGTGGATTTGAGCCCGCTGCTTTTCAAGCTCCCACACTCTGTTTCTGTCCTGCTGGCATAAAAAGAGGACTGCCTTTTTCCTCTTGTGCCAAGGACTCTCGTGTTTTAGGGAGCATTCCTTAGAATTGACCCTGGAAACCTGGCACTCCCACTCATGTCTGTGTATTCACTTATGAAGCGAGAGCTTGATATTCTCACTATTATAAAGCTTTATGAAGGTGAAGCAGCTCCCAGCTGATAACAGGATAAAGTCACTGAATTTAAGTATTTCAAAAAAAGACCATATTTTCAAACTTTGAACGGATGGTCCGTGTTTATTCCTACTGTGGGCCTTGAGTTTAAGGGGAACCTAGTTTCCTGCAAAACTCAATGTCACAGCTATTAGAAATTTATATAATTCTTATATTAGTGAAAAAAACCATAATTTTCCTTCTGGCTGCTTTAAAGCTCTCGAACTAGTAATTGGATCGTGAATTTGGTGGGTTTTTTTCCTCAATATTGGTTGCTACTGGTGGTACTGTTTGATCAAGGTACTCTAAAAGGCAAGCAGAAAGGAAGTGCATCTGTACATATGGATTTCGAAGCAAAGTCAGCAAGAGAGATCTTTATAGCATTTTGGCATAGCTAGTATCTTGCCAAAGAGGCAAAATATACATCAATAACTGGGGTTCTGTTTCACAAGGAACAGCAGCTGAAGCATAAGAACCAGGAAATAAAGATTGAGTTCATAACAGACCTCAGATTTTCCTGAATGATTTCCTTAATCAGTATGAAATGTCCTTGGTAGAGGAACTTTTTATACTTATGATGCGGTTAAATTAGGTAACCACATCACTCATAACAAAAATGAGATATTTCTTATTTTAATTAGCTTTTTTTGTATTGTATTGGGAAAATATCAATGAAACTACCCTTCATTTATGGTCCTTTTATTCATACATGCAATTTTGTGTGAAATATATGGCAAATTGGCATATGTTTAATTACCCACAGAATTATTTTTCTTTAATGCTGATTTGGCATAAACACAAAGGCAACCTCACAGGGTATAGTTCAGTGACAAACATTGTGTACCTACCTGTTTGTTTTTGGAAAGGCACAGGTTTTTGATGATGCAAGCAGTATGTCCAACAATCACAGGGTCTGTTTTATGTGCTGCCAGTAACGTCCCCAGGCTCTGCAGTAGCTCAGCACATGCCAGAGTGTCCTGAGAAGAGCAACCAGTATCTCAGTTACATCCAGTATGGACAACACAACGCAGCTTTGCAGTGAGCTCTGGAGAAATCAAACCTAGCTCTGCAAGAAGAGCATTAGTTTGCTTGTTTAAACCAAGGGTGTGGCTGGGTCCAGTGCTGCTTCTCTCAAGTATGGTCTGATTGCACTGACTGTTGAGCACTTACTATGGAAGGCTGGAGTCTTCAGGGTCATGTAGTTTATTGCTGTTTCCATCAAATGCCTCACCAGGGAGGGGGAAGGATGTGTGATCCTGACTGGAAGGAGAGGTTGTCAGGGTCGCTGTGAAAGGCAGAACTACACGGTGAAGTAGCAGCAGCAGTGTATCCTTGAGTAGCTGAGCAATTTACCTGGCTACAATATTGGGTTGTATGTTTAGATCAGTTTGTGATCAGGCACCTCTTCAGTAAACATGTCCTGAACAACATCTTTACACACATTTCTCTGCTGTCTGATGATATTTCAGAGGTACTTTGCTGGGTATCTCTCTCTGAATGTAGTCTTCCTCCAACTGCCATTAATATTACTTGAATCACAGAATGACCTGGCTTGGAAGGGACCTTAAAGATCATCCAGTTCCAAACCCTCTGCCATGGGCAGGAACATCTTCCACTAGGCCAGGTTGCTCAGACCCCCATCCAACCTGGCCTTAAACACATTCAGGGATGGGGCATCCACAAATTCTCTGGGCAACATGTTCCAGTGCCTCACCACCCTCACAGTAGGGATTTTTTTTCCTAATTTCAAATCTGAATTTACTTTTTTCAGTTCATGGCCATTACTCTTGTCCTGTAGTATCAGATCGGAGTCTGGATTACTGCACAGGTAGTTATCTTAATAACAACCTGTGGCACTGGGGGCACTGCTGTGTGTAAGAGAAACCTGACTTCAACAGAGTTTATTTTAGGTCTGCAGTTAAAAGCAAAAGATTTCCTCTTGGGAGTGTTTTTTCATTCAGTCTCCTTCCCTTAGGTATTTAGGAGTTTTTTGTGCAGTTCTTCTGTTTGTTCACAATTAACTATATTATTTGTACTACTTGGAAACCAAGACACATTAGCAAGGGAGTTCAATAGAAAACAAATCATTGGTCCTATACACAGCTGCAAAAAATCACATAATTCTGAAACCTGTGAAATATCAGGATCACTAAAGCAGTGTTGAAAGGCAGATGTCTTTAAAAGTTAGTTTAACTTTAATCTTTCTTTTGCTTAGGTTAAATTGCAAAAGTGTATCGTATTTTCTTTTAATACCAGCTGACATCTTCACTTAGCTCATTTTAAGCACTGTCACAACCAGCAATCCTAAAATAAAGCAGGAAAGTAAATGGAAAGAGCAGTTCTTTGCCTAAACACAGGGCATTTAAAGAATCCTATATGTAGACATGACAGTAATTTTTCCTTAGTCTTATTTTCCATTTTCTTTAACAAAAGAAATAACATCGTTTTACATAATCCAATTAAATTACCACTGATTACTGTCTTCTGTGCTTTTGGGGCCAAATGGGTCCCCTTTTCTATGTAATCCCATCAAGTATGATACTCATTTTTGATTTGCTACAGCCTGAGAGGAGGAAATTTTCTATGGATTATAAAGAAACTTTCTAATATATAATGACTTCCCTGCCAAGATCTTTTGTCTATTTAGGACCTACATTAGCAAGTGACAGTACTTGAATTTTGCTGAATTTCTTTTTTTGGCTGGAATATGGCTGAGATCCAGATTTTGTTTTCTGGCTCAATTTTGCACAGTGCAAGAGAATCACGAGAAAACTGTGAGTAAAAATAGATTGAGTGATTCAGATGGATATTGATCTAACTTCTCCCAAGATTAGAATATTAAAAAAAAAAAAAAAAAAGGCAAGGAAAAAAACATTCCAGCAGCAAGGGTGCTTACAGTTGCAATGCTGCACTCATTCTCCTTACACACGGATTTCCTGACAAGGTAAATATTGTCCCATTTACCAATTAGCAAGATGGTACGGCAAAGTTATTTTGTACCTGGAGTGGAGATTCAGTGGCACCATCTGGAATAGACAGACCCTGACTTCCAGGTCTTTTGCTCAAAGGAATTTGACTTAAGAGACTGTTTTCTCACAAAGCCTGATTCTTTAGTGTTTCAGGGTTGAGCTGTCCTTGAGAAAACTGAATACTATTCCCTCTGCAAGAGGGAAGCTTTCCAGCCCTTGCTGGGAATCCCTGTCAACAGCCTGACCAGGAGATTGCAAAAAGGGGGCTGAAGCAGGGCAAGGAGCTCCTGTGAAGCATTCCTGGGGGTTAGCTTCATGGTAACGAAAGGGCAGACAGATTCTGCCCCATTGTATCCTGGGTAGTATTGGTAATAATTCAAGCATCACTTGACTTGGTTGTAAAGGTTAGCTTTGTTCAATGGTTTGTTTTCCAACAGTTGTTCCCATGGAGAAGTCCTTTTTTCAGTCACGGAGAATTCAGCCTGAGTTAGAGAAAGAAACGTTGAAAAGACTTGAAAAACAGCTCAGAAAAGGCACAGAGATGGGGAGGCAGGATATGAATACAAAGAGGTCAGCTTCTTCTCAGAGTGCCCACTGCTCGCTCGCACAAAGCAGCAACATTCAGTAGTCAGGGACAGCCGAGTTTGCGCACTAAAACAAATGTCGAGATGTAGATACTTCTCACTGGAGAATAAAGTGAGATGCTTTGCTCTCCAGCCTCCTGCTACTGACCCTTTTTCCCTCGTGAAGGATGGGCTGTTTCACCACTGGTGTACCAAGGCTGAGTTTGCAGTGTCTTTGCTTTGTTCCCACTGATGCTGACCACGTCTCTTTGTGGCGAGGGATTTGAAACACTGGTAAAGACAAGTTTCAGGACCAGGGAGAAAAGGATTTGTGGGCACCCTTTCCTGGGAGAACAAAAATGTGAACGATGTTTGGAGACCAGAAAAGCAAAACTGAGTAAGGACCATGTTCCAGCATAATGTCTCCCACTGAATAACATATTTACTGTGCAAATGGCCTTCAACTAACTTAATGCATTTCAATTGTAAGCTTGTTGAGAGCAAATTGTGTTTTGATTGTATGAGGCAGTTTGACAAGCAATGAGGATGTTCTGTGCTCATGCAGCCACTCTGCCTTGCATTGCTCTGTGCTCTAGCTGCTACTTTCGAGGCATTGAGCTCACCCATTTTTCCCATCACGTCCCAGAGGTAGGGCAGGTGCAATTTTGGTTTGTGTACAGACAACTGAACTGTAACACACCAAGCTTTCCAAACCCAGAGTAAATTCCCAATCAGGCTGAGTGTATTTCAGGCACAAGAAGCACCTAAGGCCACCTGAAGCTGTTCAGACCCTGTCACTACTGCTTGAAGCAATGAGGCAGGAAAAGTTCTCACATATTTTTGCTCTATGTACCGAACCTCTGACTACCTTCAAATGTTGTTGTTAGCTTAAAACACTTACCAAAAACCTTTCACATCTATGTTCTTAAGGATGTCTTTAATTACTGTAAAGAAAAGTTTATTTAAAAACAAGAGTAATCTGTCAGTAATTTGCTGTAATTTAATTGTAGGCAGACTTCTTCATGTATTTGCTAGTGTTGCACTATTAACGGTGGTGTTTACCCTGAACATGGGCAAAAGAAACATTTAGGGCATGAGGATACACAGTCCTAGTGAAATCCTAATGCATTAACTAAAGACAGACAAGATTTCAAATTCTGTTAGTCCCCCTTTTTGTTTTGGTCCTAATTCAAAATATGTGAATATTCTACAAATGCACTTTTGAATAACACTGTCCATGCAGGGAGTAACTCTTTGTTCTGCACTTATGCACTTTAAATATGTGCTCTAAATCAGTTTCTCTGCTTTTCAGTGGGTGGGGAAGCTCTGTAGCCAAGAAATAACTCCCTTGGTTGCCCTCATGGTGGCAGTCTCTCATGGTGCTGTGTATGACACCCATCTGCAGACCTATGGTCCGGGGACTGAGGGGACTAGGAGGAGTTGCAGGGAGTGCAAGGCAGTATCCATAAATCCAACGGCTCTGACACCCATCTGCCCCTCTTCTCTCTCACTGGTCTCTCCTTTGGATACCACTCAGCACAACAGATGGCTCCTCAGGTAGTTAGTGACAGTGCAGATGCAGTAAACGAAGCCTTGCTATTTCGGATAGGAGAGAGAAGGGTTGGGAAGTCTCTCAGAGTCTCTTGGTCATTCTCAAAATGCATTTCATAGGCTGTTTTGCCATAACAGAGCGTTACCCCAGGTGGTGGACAGAACTAGTCTTTCCCCTCTGTTTTTGGGAACTGACCTCCCATACCTGGTTGGGTGGGTGCTGGGAGAGTATCCAGAGCAGGGCAATGGAGGCACGACGCACGTCCTCGCTGCCAGAGGCCAGGAGAGAGCACAGCTTGGGCAGGACGTTCTCAGCAACCATCTCGGCCTGGATATCCACTGGGGTGGGAAAAGAAAGGAGGTCAGGGGGGTTCAGAGCACTGCAGGGAGTAACTCAGGCTCTGACTCAAACAGCTGACTGTTGCATCAAATTAGAGGGGACCTCCCCATCTCCATGTGATGGGGCAATGCAGATGTTCAGTTATAAAAATAAATCCTCATTTGTTCTGCCTCCTTTTGCTGAGGGATTAATACAAGCTTGATGGCAGAATGTAGGTTTGGGCACCCTCAGTCTGTGTCTGAACCTCAAAAAAAAGTGAGGGGAATTTTCTGACTCCATCACTGGCATAAGGCCAGGTAAGAAGGTGGCAGCTGCACAAACAGAAAGACCTCCCAAGCACCACCTATCTCACAGGGTTATAGTTAGCCAGGAGAGAGCCCAGCCATCCCACTGAGTTGTTACACCCCACTTGCCCCTGCCACCTCAGTGAGTGCACTAAAAGGCAGTGCCGGAGAGGCCGGCAGATGGAGAGGCAGATCCAAAAGGTCAAGCAGACCAGGTGTTTCAAACACATCAAGGAGTGCCACAGCACTTCCTTCACTCTCGGCTCCTCTATAATTGTGACTGCTGGAAAATTAAGCACCTCTACATTTTCTAGATGAATAACTCTACCCTGAAGTCTGGGACTTTAGCACTGAGTGTGCCAGTCCTCTGCCACTATTTCCTGAATATGTCACAGAAATGAGTCTTGGACATTTAATAGGGTTTTTCAGGAGGATGACAAATGCATGGAAGAAAATTGCATTTAATGGTAGGCCAAATTATGCCTTGGAGAAGACAGGTCCCCACTCAATAAGCAATTTCAGGAGACATTCTGTCCTAATTGGGTTTAATGCTTAGGAAACATGGAAAGAAGGAAAGCTTAGCAACTCACTAAAGCTCTGTGCATAAGCACACCTTTGCTGCCTTTCTCACTTTCTCCAGATACTCCCCTTGCTACCTGGGAGCTCTAAAACAGATTTAGTTAGGATATGCACTGCACCTTCCTCTTCCCTTAACATCCAGTTAAAATGTAGAAAATGTCTCTGTTTTTGATAGGAAAGGTTCCCAGCCCACTGTGCTCACTCTGAAAGGCAGAGAGAGATAGAAATAGTGTGGTTTCTTTATCTCCAAGACATTGCTTACCACTGGTAGCCAAATTTCTTAGGCAAACACATGCCTGGCTTGAAACCTGCTTGTGCCAAAGAGGAAAACAAAAAATTTAAAAATGAGAGAGAGGAGGAAAAAGAGAGGTTTTAGTAATGCATGTTCTTGCCTATTGCACACAAAATAAACATGACAACACTAGCAAGCTCTTACATTATCTTCAAGAGTAAATTTTGGCACATGCTTTTTTTTCAAAGTTTTGATGAAACTTTTTTTTAACCTCCTAGTATCAGTCATCCTATTGTTGATGAAGAATGGGGTTCAGATGTTGGCATTATTTTAGAACATCTGATAAGTTATAAGAAAATGAAGGGAAAGAAATTGTCCCATTTGCTTTGCCTTTTTTTCACCTCCCTTCTACACAGAATTTCAAGTTCCACCAGGAACTGTGGTTTCTTGAAGTTTCTTTGATGTGGCTTGCAACAAAGCAAAATTTTCAAGATGTCATCCTTGAAGCCATACACTAAAAGTTCTGGATACCAAAAAGAAAAAAAAAAAAAAGTAGCACAAGAGATGTGTCAGACAACTTCTGTCACAGACACAATGATCAAAGACAGAGCCTGGACAGGGCACTTCTCACATGATTCAAGTTAATAGCATACAGGCTATCCTAGTCTAAAGGAAGTGTCCAGGGCTGTAGAACAACTTTAATAATTTGCCTTTGCTTTCTTCATACATTGACCTTGTAGAACCCATGTATTTTCTATTATAGGTGTCTTTTCTCATGGGAAAGATGCCGCATAGGTACCTGTACAGTAGATGAACAGAATGATGTGAGGCTGAAACTGGAAGCCCAAGTCTATAGCTCTGCTTGGATGCTAAGTCTTTTCACAAAGAGAAAGCTACAGCTTTACCTTGTCCACAGAAGAGGATAGGAGAGAGATCAGTGTCCGCAGCAGGAACCTGTCACTGGGTCTCAGCAAGGCTTTGTGGTGCTGAACATTGGCTGCCACGTTGCTCAGGGCAGCACAGCTGTAATACTGCAAAGAACCAAGAAAAAACAGAGAGAGAGGTCAGAGTGGTGACACACCAAAAAGAATACAAATAAATTGGAGAAATTATTTCAAACCAATGAAAATAAAATGCTTTTTCATCCTAAGGGTGTTTATAGGGTTGACACAACATGCTGTAGCTGCTGCAGCAATCCTGCTGGGGCATGTTGTACATTCATTAGGATCTTGGCTGTTTGGGAATGTGCTCTGCTGCTGCAATGACATTGCTGCTGGCATCTAAGTTAAGTCATCTGCAGCTATTGTATTACATGTTTACATTGATTTACTCAAGCTGGATGTAGCTATTGCCCTAGCATGCCAAGAGATCATTTCCAAAGGATCTAACCATTAATGCTAGGGAGGATTATACATATAAAAGTATCTATTGCTAGGGAGGTATAATTAGAAGAAACAGGTTGAGCTACAGAGATGAAAGTTTTAAGGTGAATCTCAGAGAAATCTAAAAATGCGGAAACAGTTTGCAGAAAGCAATTCCAGAGGGTCCATTCCTTCAGACATCTAAAAAAATCTGAGTAGAGATAATTAAACTGATGGGGAAAAAAATTTTGTGCTACTCAAAGGACTGAATAAACAAACTAGCAGAGTGTAAGGATTACAACAGTGATTCATAGCTTAATTATCAGCACACTTTTGCACTAAGACGAGCTCTCTGTTGAGTGTGCAGATTCACAAACAGGTGTCTGTGATAGGCATAAAATAGGATGCTTTACAGATATTTACAACAACAAGAAAAAGATCTTTTCAAGTTGCCCTCTCAGAATACTTAGTAACATTGCTTAGAGTGGATGATCAAAGTTACGATGCAAAGAAATCCCCCAAACAAAACAAAAAACCAAAACCCAGAGGAAGAGACCTATCTGCATCATGTCTGATGATCTGAAAAACACAAGAAGGTAACCACATAACAAGAAGCTGTGCATGCATTAATGTGTGCTGGCAGAAGAAGTTTTGCATCATAAACTTTTTACTGCGCAGTGAGACAAATTGGGTCTTTTAACATATATTATGTGACTGAGCTGAGTTTCACCAAGATGCTCTCCCATGTTTCTCCACTTCACTAGAGAAACCATTCCTCCTCTTCCCCCTTTTCCTTTCCGCAGACTGAGGTTTGTGCTCTCCTTACAGTCACCATGTTACTGTTTTAAAATCTGACCTATTTTAGTCATACCTGGACTTCTGAGTCAGGAGATTCCAGCAGCAAGGCAAGGACTGGTAGGGCTCCTTCCTTGCATAGGACTTGTTGGATTTTCTCTGCCATTAAAAAGAAAAAGTGAAAGTGTCTTCCTCCTTCCCTCCCTCTCATCTGGAGGCACCATTCAAAAGGGAGGTTCTTGGGTTCTAAAGAGTGCTGATGTTGTCCAAATATATGCCAGTCAGTGTGACTGGAGAGTATGTAATTTAGAGCTTGTGTAATGCAGCAGTATGCAGATATTTTAGCAAAAAGACTAGCAGGCTGTCTGATTAAGCTTTTGATGGTTTTATGCTAAAAACTGCTCTGAGAATCTGAATTGCTGGAGAAGCTGAAAAGCCTCAGGTATGATCTTCACTATGATTTCTGTGTTTTAAAAAAAATTATTTAAAATATTCTGAATAATACCAGAAATGTAATAGCTAACTGTATAAGTTCTTGCCAACTGTTTCCTTCCACAACACAGTGTTCAGAGATGTTACTCGTGACTTTATCATTTAGCTCTGTGGAAGAATGGTATCATCTTGGTAGGTGAAATTTAATGCTGGTTTGTTTCAGAGTTAATTATGGTAGTCTACATATAATTGCAGAGGACCAAGTACAGCTTTTGATAAAGCTGTTTGCAGATATTCCAGGAGCCTTTAATGTCTGACCCGTGATAGTTACACTTAGCATATTCCAGCACTGAGTTAGTCAGAACAAGCAAAAAGCTCCTAAAGCTTGACTTTGTTGGGTAAACTCCAGAGATTGCTTTAAAATACACCAAATATCCTGTTAAGTTTTTTAGGCCAAATAATTTCTTTAACAAATTTGTTTTCCTATTTCTTTGACTGATTGTTTAAGCCCCTTGGATTTGAAAATCAAGCTTTTTTGTTTTGCTACTAGGGAAAAAAGGGCCTGTATCAGCTAAACTTAAAGCATCAACCTGTGGTACCAACATGAATGCCATATGCAGAGGAAATAACTTGTTGCTCAGAAGGGCTTTTATTCTTGCCTTAACCTTTAGGATTATTTTTCTATCAATCAGTGAGTTTTCTTTTGGCAATTTAAGTAAACCATTAGTCCGAAAGTACCTGATTGTGTGAGGTTCAGAATAGCACCAACTGCATTTTGTTGGACTCTGGGATCATAGGAATTGGCAAGAGACAGTAGGGGTGTAACTCCTCTAGCAGCACCAATAGCCTCTCGGTTGGACTCTGGAGAAAAGAATCAGAGAAAGAAAGAAAGAAAGAAAGTAAGATTTACTGCCATCCTACTGTGAGCCACAAGCAGGACAACCAGCAGGACTATCCCTTGGTGCTCCCTTCTCTGATTTCTCTGCATGCTCAAAGGAAACTCCTAAAAATGCTGAGAGCTTCATAGGAAGGAAACCAACTCATGGCTTCTGGATTAGCCATAAATCACAGCTGGTTCAATGCTTTTGGTTTGTGACTAGGATAATTAAAGTATTTTAAGGCCCTTTAAACAAGTTAACAGAGTGTCATACTCGCTTCATCCCCTTGGTCTGTCTGATCAATCTATTCACAGTGTGATAACCAAAAACTACATCATTAACTGCAGGTAAGGTTTAATTAATTTAGTGCGGTATATTCAGGGACAATTTCTTTCTTGGGATGTCCCTGTGTTACTCACTTGACATCTACAAACAGTTCAGAGGTTTCTAAAGACAGAATTTGATTTAACCATTGGAATTTGAAAAGATGATGCTTTTTTGAAGTGGTGGTGATTCCTTGCATAGCAATGTACTAAGTTGTACAGTTGTATTCAACATCCTGGAGTACAAGGAGAACTAAAAAAAGGTCTGTAGAACCCCTTAGGACTCTTGGATGAAAAACTGGTAAAAAAAGAAAAATTACATTACTTAATTATGTAAAATTAACAGTATTTATACACAGTTTAAACAATGGCCAGTCTGGAAGTTTGCTGAGAGAAACATGAAGCAGACAAGCAAAAAAAAAGTAAAGGTATTTGGATGAGATAAAGTCTTTGGGTGCTAACTAACTTGGAGAGTTATGAGAACAAAGCTGCTACTTTTATACCTAAAGCCTATATAGTGGGAAACTGACATGGACAGATTAGCCAGGATATTTATTCAAGTATAGTTCAGAGAGTATCAGTTTAATATTCCAAGGTAAGTAATTTTCTGCCTTCCTATATACTCAAGTAAGTAAGTTTTATTCTGAAAAAAAAAATTGAGAAAAATAATTGTTCTGGGAAGAGTAATCTTTTTAAAATAGCTTTTCCATGTGGGAAGCTATTATTCTGGTGGAATATTCTGGTCCCTTTCACAGACAAGCCCTTCTCTAATCTAATCTGCCTACATACCATTCTTTTGTTTCCCTCAGTAGAAGGAGAAAGTCTTTTGTATGGCTCCAGCTGGTGTGATGCAAACTACTCAGGTGAATAAAAAGAGAAGCAAAGATAAAGAAAGAATTTAGATATTCCCTTATTCTTGTACACAATATACTCCATGAATGTTTGTGAATGTGGAAAAGAATCTTACATTTGAGAAAAGGGATTATGAACATTTGGACAAAACTTGGGCAAATTCTTTCTTCTATCAGATGTTGTGCCTGAATGCTGGTTTTGCCAGTTTATGATGACAGACTGGATAGGGAAATCTATCTCACCAAGATGTGCAACTATTGCCATCTCTGTAAGAGAGGTGGCAGGCTAGATCATGTTTCTGTCCTGAACTACCTGTTCATCTTAAAAAATGCAGTCCCTCCACTGATGCCACTGCAACCACTGATGCCCCTTGGAATGCTTTCAGAAGGAAACTGTGTTCTTTCTAGATGCTACTCTAAAGTGGGGAAATCAACAACATCTACTCAAGCTGTGTTTGAATAACTCACCAATTCATAAATTCTTTCTTTCCACTCTGATATTTGTGTGCCTAAAAATTCCCATCAGAACAACTTTGAATGTACTTTACACTCAGTGCATCTGCCTTGTTTTAGCTTAAAGCAGATGTTCAGTCCCCCCTAAACCCCGAACATGTGAACATTTAGTTCTGAAGTACTCTGAGTTCTTATCTCAGAACTGATTACTTTCACTCAGTGATTAAAAAGCTGCAGATAATTGCAACTATGCATGTATCCTTTTGCTGTGTGAACAAATGCTGGTGTTGGAACAAACTAATCTTCAAATATTTTTCATTTGAATGGGTTAGTTTGTTCTTATTTTCAGCTCCCTATTGCAGCAGGGAGACAATCCAGTTTACACATGACCTGCAGTAACATGACCTGCAGTAACACTGCTAAACAGTTACACTCTGTACATAGTCTTGCATGCTTGTTGCAACAGAATTAAAACCATTCTTAGATGCAGAATTTTAGTCACCTTAAAGCCATCTAAGGATCTTCCTAATTTGGTTGTGCTTCCATATTTATCTTTTTTGCATAAATGGTCTTCTTGAAGGATATGACTGAACAGGATACTTTTCTCAAGCAGACACTTAAAAATATCAGAGTCTGCGAGTTAAAATTAAAATAAACCCTGGAGAATTGCCTCTTGCTTTAGTCTCATTGGTGTGGTATCTAAATATAGTCTGAAAAACAAATAAATGGATCCAGCCCATTTAAATTCTAGTTAAACTGGGACAGTGGTCCTCAACACTGATCAAATACCAGGCAGCAACCCAGCCTACCTCTGTGTTCAGCTTTGAAAGCTCCTTGAGTGCTTAATTTGGAGTACTTGTGCTCAGAAGGACATTGGCGCTTAAGGGAGTGTGCAAAGGCAGAAGTCCACAGGGAATGAAGGTAGCCTGGATCTGCAGTAGCTGAGGGTTCCCTGTATTCCAGATTAGACATTTAGAAGGGTAAGAGTGTCTTCAGGACTAAGTAACATCCTTAAGTGCCCAAACAAGTCACTTTCTCTGTGGACTGTTTAAAACAGGTGAAGGGAAACACCGATCTTTCTGTAATCTTTAGGGGCTTAACTTCACTGACCCTACATAAAGAAAGTCCTTCTAGACCCAAGTACCTAGAAGTTTAGTGATGCTTTGTCTAATTAAGACATTTAAATGAGGCAATTTGCATTCCACACAAAGTAATGTAGTATGTAAAATTCTTAACCTGATGATAATATGCAATGCTTAAAAATAAGCTCCTAAGGGAAAAGTGTTTAAAAACCTGAAAATAAAATAAAAAGGTGGGATAAAATGCAAATCAGCACTTTCATGTGGTTGGATCCTGCTTATCCACTCCTCCTTTGCAACATAAATACTTAAATGAGAAATTAACACTTTCATCATGCTTCCCTCAACCTTCTGGGACATCAGACTGCACCTTCCCATGCTGGAGAAGGAAGCTGGCTACAGGAAGGGAAACAAATGTTGAAACCATGGCTTTTCTACAGACTTGTACACAATTTGTACTGGAAAACTATGAGTTTGGACAAGGTAGAATAAGACAGACTAACATGATAACATTTCTTTTGGTAACTGTGGCTGAACTTACCTTCTGGATACCAGGAAAATATTAATATCGTTATATGAAATATTCATAGTTAAGCAGAAGATGGTGACAAATGCAAGTAGTGCATGATGGATAAAAACTGACTGAAAGCAAACTGGCAGCAAGTTTTGGCAGCAGCTGGATGGAAATGACCACCTGGGAAGAGGCTACAAGTGGAATTCCATGAGGGCTAATCTGTATTTGCTTTGAACCAGAGAGTTAAAACAAAGAGCCGAATGCAGAATTGTCAATGCAGTGGAGGACCAGAATATCTTACAAATAACAGACAAGTTAGAATACTGAAGCAATGGAAACAGAATGAAACCTCTAGAAAATGCAGGTGTGTGCACTTGGAAACATGGGTGGTACAGAGCCTTGATTACTTGGTGTCTGCTGGAAATAGCCACAGAGGAGGGGCAAGCCTAAATGATTAAGTCAGCTGTAGGATGACAACATCACCATGGCACAATCACCAAACCTTCAAGTGTTACCATGAGATGTACCACAAAACATATTTCCGTATGTGCCACAATAAAAGGCACAGGTGAGACCCCAGGTGAAATGCTGCACATTTCTGGTGACTTCTCTTTCAGAAGAGATGAATCTAAAACGGAATTCCTGCAGCATTTATCTATATCTTGGCACTGTAACAACCACCTGAGGCCTGTGGTATCATGATATGGCACATGCAAATCCTATATTCCATTCCTGGAACATATCATTTACACCCGGAAGGACTCTGAAGACGAATGGAGAGTCTCACTTACAAGAGGAGTCTTAAAAGACCTTGGCTTTCTTAGTCTAGTAAAATGAAGGAACCTCATCAGCATAGACATCAGAGAGACAGAACTCCTGAAGCAAAAGCCAATGTAGACATTAATTAAGATAAGCCAGTCATGAATACATTTAGGATGAAAATCAGAAAAAGGTTTGTAATCATAACAGCACAAAGGTCAGAAACACTGAGAAAAATAACTGGAATGTCAGGAGGTTGAATGTATGATGTGGGAATACCAAAACCTGCTGCATCTTATGACTCTTAAACCCATGGCAAATAGGTTGTATCACCTTAAAATATGATGGAAGAGTTGAATGAATCCACAGCAGAGGACAAAGGCAAAGAGAACACTCACCTGAAACAGCCAAAGTCATGATGCAGGCACAGGAATTACACTGGACAGTGGGATCCTCTGATTCAAGCAGATCCAGAATTGGCTCAAGTAAAGCCATTTGGACAACTAATTCTTTGTCAACTATTCAAAAATTCAAGAAAAATGGACAAATAAAAAAGTAAGCAGTTAGTGATTTTGTGGAAAGAATACATCATCCATTGACTGCTTTGGAGATCTACATTATGATTATACAAAATAGACCTAAGATAAAAACAGCCAGAAAGCCACTCACAGTCCCTAGCTGGGTTTGCTTAATTCTCCTTCAGATGCATGAAAGAGTGTAACAGATGTTTGGAGGTGTTAGGCCAGAAGGTCCCAAATCAGGTTAATTTTGGCAAGAGCAACTGAAGCTTTCCAATAGGTTCACAGCTTACCCAGCAACCCCCCACCCTTTCTTTTTCTTCTGAGGTCTACAATTTAAATATTATTTTTTCTTTGTAAATGGCGACATGATATTATTTGCAGCAAAATCCTTAAAAAAAGAAAGCAAAGAAAAAAGCCAGCTTTGCTGAAAACTGACCCTGTCTTCTGCTATTGTGGGACTGCAGGATGGAATACCTCTAGTGGCCTGGGTGCCCAGGAATGCAGTAGTAGATGCAACAAGGACTTTGTTGATGAGGTGTGGCATGTTCATGCCCTGTCTATCAACACAAACTTTATTGAGAAGTTATTCTTCTGCATCTCCCAGATTCTATCTCAAGTCTATTTTCCTCTTTAGTTACAGAAGTAAGTGAATTGTGTTGTGTTTAAACATTTTTTTTTTCTCTGCAAGCAATTTAAGACTAAGGTCCAGTTCATAAATAAGCAGAAAATGAGCACTGTCTCATACACAGAGTTTATTTCTATTAGCTGTATCCATTGTTTGAAAGGAAAAATGTCTGTAGATCCAAGAATGAGAACAGAATTCTCTGTTCTCTGGCCTGAGAATAATTTATCAGCCTTTGCGCACAGATCCAAGAACTCTTGTCACATTATATAATTTAGCTGGAAGGATCTGATCTATCTTGATGCCACCAGAAGCTATGTACCTTGCAGTCAGAATCAGACTCACACTTGTCCTATCAGGAACACAAAAAAAGGAATCTAGATTTGTGTAGAAGTGCCCTCCTTCTGTCTGAGTCTGGCTGAACAGATACTTCTTCACCTGAAGAGAGATGTGTCATTAATTACTCACTATTTCCTTCCAGCAGGAAGTTGACAAGGGACAAGGAAGACATCTGCTGCACCTCCAGGTCAGCAGAACGTAGTAAGGCATAGAAGGGTTCCAGATGCTCCACAGGCAGGGGGATGTTCACTGCAAGAGCGAGAGGAAATATTCATGAATCCCACTGTTCATCACAGTCACATCTTTCCCTTGATGGACTTAAGCCTGAGGTGCTCCCATAGACAGGCTGAGTGGTATTCACCTTCGTTAAAATTCCACTGCTACTAGCAAACAGGGCAAGTTTCCTGAAGAGGTTTTGAATAATCAAGTACTTCATAAACATCATGGGAAGGGAAGCAGTGTGCCTTGCTACCAAACAAGTCATTCTGCCTCACAGCAGGCCCTTGCGTTGTGGCTACCCGCACTTTTTATCCAGCAAATAATACATGGGATAAAGCTATCATCCAAGCGACAGAATATTCTCTTTGAAGTAAAATTAAAATAAACAAATAAATAAATTTTAACCTGCTTATTGCTAGTATTTTTTACCTTTTTGTAGAATTCAAACTCTTGCTGATATTTTATTTGGGATATCTAGGCTGACTCCTAACCATTAACAAACTACCTCAAGAGCCAAGTGCTCCCACAGATTATTTGAACAAAGAAGAATGTGTCCTTCATAACTTTTCATTACAATCTATCTTCTGGAGTTTTGTCCTCTTTTGTATATAATTTATAACATTAACTGGTCACTATGTCCATTTCCTTTCACCATATTTTGACTGTGTTGCTTTCAGGAGATTCAGTATACACTAACTTGAAATACTTTGGGTTCTGCTGAGCTTCACATAAATATAACAATTTCATAAGTACAGTCTTTCATAATCATAAGAGATATCTCCTTATAGCAAAACCCAGAACTGATTCTGCCTATGTGGCAATGACAGTTTTCCATCTTCCTTGGCAAAAAATATGGCATGAAAGCAAAAAAAAAAAAAAAAAAAAAAAAAAAAAAAAAACTTGCTTAATGAATCAAAAGGAGTTTCACAGTTTGAAATAATATTTTTATTTATACTTACATGAAAATTTTCTAATGCTTACTGAGACAACTTACTGTGCTGACTCATATGCAAGTAATAGAGGGCAGCTGACTGCTGTAAACCAGGGTTTTCTGAAAAGGATAAGGTCCTCAAGGCTTCCAGAGGGTCCTTTCCCAGTGGAGACATTTCAAAATCTAAAGGTGTAAAATGACAGCACAGGCTTAATCACATCTGTAAAGGGTTAGTTTACAAAAAAAATTGACATTTGAAGCCAACCAAATACATAAGGATTTTTGTACTGCATAAAGCCCATCTACCTTTATTCATGTTTCCATGAGCAGAAGCAATAGATGAACTGGGAATAACCTGTCCTTGGCAATGCCTCTTGTAAAGCTCACAAAGCTAGTGATTGGAAACAAGATAAATTATAACCTTTAGACACTTTTATGCTATCTAATAGAAATGCAGGTGTTCTTGTTCTCCACAAAAATTTTTACCTTTTTCTGAATCTTTTTTAAAATACAGAACATGGTGTTTGTAGTTAAGTAAGAGTATATATTTCTAATTTTTTCTATATATATTTATAAATATAGAAAGAGTATATATTTCTAATTTACCACCTCTGAAGTTCACTGTGTTTCCTGTTTTGGGTATTGAAATACAGGATTTAAAGGAATAGCAACATGGACTGCAAACAGGCTTGCCTCAGGCTTAAATTTCTAGCATGAGTCTACCTGTTCTCGAGTATGATAGGTCCCCTATGAATAACCCAGATGTTCAACAACAGTCATCAAGCAATAGCAGTCATGCATTACTTCTGCAAGTCACTGTATAATGTAATATGTGGAATGGAGCAGCAGGGACGAAAAGGAAAGGGACATTGAGTGAATGAACAGAGTTAAAAAGGTAATGTATGATTGATCAACTGGTGGAGCACACAGATTTATTTAGATTTATAAGATTTATTTTCAATAATAATTATAAGATATATTTATTAATATTAAAGCTGTGCAATAATGACTGGAATATCTCTGAAAAATATCTGGCTACTTTACCTCCCATGGGACAAAGAAATGTGAGGGATGTGAGGGGCATAAGCTTTCATGCCTCACTGCAAAACACAGCCAATATCTCAAGGCATTAGAAGCTGCTGACATGTCAAGACTTGCAAACTCCTACCCTCAGGATTAGGTAAGTGAGCTTCACAGAACTGCTTCATATAAAGACAATTTTAAAAAATAATTAGTAGTATACACAAACGGAAGGACTTGCCTGTGTGTGCAAGGTTTTGGACAAGAAAACCAAAAAAAATCTCTTCATGTGGTTTAATTCTGTTCCTTTCACTGTCTGAACCTGAATCCATCTGATTCTTCTATATGTGGTTTTGTCTGGGAGAGTGATAAAGCTGAAACCACACAAAATTTTCACCTGCTTAAAATACCAAAATTTGCTGCCCTAGCTAACAGATGAGTGCGATGATCAACCATGAAGTGTCTCCTTGCACCCAAATTGTTCAAACACTTTCTTTTTGCTTATTATATTTTGTTTGCTTATTATATTTTGTTCATATTTATTATATTTTATTATATTTTGTTTTGAGGATAGGCTTGTTCCCTCTTGGAATAAAATACACAGATGAGTGTTAAAATAAGAGGGATGTGTCTTGGTTCTCTTTGTGAGGCTTCCCTGCCTCTATTTGTCCAGGCAGTAAGATCTGGCCATCCAGAGAACCAGATTGGTTCTGCTTCCTGGGTGCTGTATGTGTCCTGTCATGGGCAGTGGGACCTCCCTGAAAACCCTCATTGTCATCTGTGTACTGCTGTCAGAGGAGCTCTAGGCTTCCTACTGCTGTACCCCAGCTCCCATGGATCCGAGACAGACCAGACTTCTGAAGACTGATCTCAGAGAGGAAAGGATCTCTCAATAAAACACACAGTCTTTTCAGGGAGCACCAGTGGCTGCTACAAGGGGCCATCCTGGCCTCCCCTTCATTACATCTCATCGATCAGCTGTGCAGGGACAGTCTCCTGTCTTGGGAGTCTCAGAGTCAGAGAAGACTAGACTTTGGAGAGAAAGTTCAGCCCTGGAATATCTCCACTGTATAATAAGCTGAAAGATCTGCCCCTATTCTGGATATGAATGTCAGGATTTAAACCAGCACTGAAGGTGCAACAATCAGTGAACCTTATCGGCAGCACAGGACCCACCACGTTTGCTGGATAATGGCACCAGCTAATACCAATTGAGGCTAATCCACACATGTTCCCAACAACCAGAGTCACAGCAATTATTCCAAAGATTGTTCCATGACAGATCATTTCAAACAGAATTAACCATGTCACACCAAGGAAAAATGTCTCTCCTGGTTCCCCTTACAAGATTGTTACATGTTCCCAAAAAGACAAGTAAATGAATAGTAGATCCACACCCTTCACACAAACAAAAGTAGGGGACTATGCAATTTTGTGTAGTAGCTTTAGCCCAAAGCTGTTAAACATAAAGTATACCAAATTAGTTGTGAGACAAAGCAAAACCAATCAAGCAATGACCCCTTTATCTTGAGATAAGGGCTATTTTTAGATTGGACAACCAACAAAATACACTCATTCAAGATGACTGCAGATGTGAAATAAAAAACCAAGTTCCCCTATTGATGTTGTATCCTAGAACAGGACAAAGAGGATATCACAATCAGAAAAACAGAGGAATTAGGCAGATAACCTGTAAAGCAAAGGAGATAGATGAAGAGTTATGAATCTACTTTGATCCAAGCAGAACCCCATGACTGTGATTAAGCCTGATGTCTAAAACATTTGCACAAAAGCACAGTTGCTTGGAATCCTGAGAACTCAATGATGCTTGTCCCAGGGTGACTTTGGTCTTCCCCATGTACTGCCCAGACATCCCTAGTGTAAGTCCCAGTGTTCAGCCAACACAGAGATGCACAACTGTGCACATCACACTGTGATCTTCCCACTCACAGCTCAGCACTCACACAGCATCCAGTCTTATCAAAGCCTATGTCCAATTCTGTCAGGTCCTTTTGACTGACTTTTAAAAAGTAACTTTAATTTCTAGAAGGACTCACTTTTATGAAACACATTAACATGGGTTATATATTAACAGTGGTGGCAGAGCAAGAAAGTGATTCACCACTTCTACCTAGATCCAACTGTTGCACGACTTGAGCCCTTGGTGTCCTGTACACAAAGAAAATGCTGTGTACCTCTGGCCTTTCCTCATCATCACCGAGCTGCTCAATGCAATACCAGAGCAGAACAGTTAACAATCTGCTTTCAACTCACAAAATTAATCCACTTGCTCTTTCACAACCCTTTAGAAAAAGTCCTCTTACCTTTTTCGATATGCTGCAGAAATTCCTGTGCTGTCACTCTCTCATGAGGCTGTAGGATTGGTTTGTACAGCTGTCTGTTTTTAGAGCTGTTCTGTTTTAAGCAGGAACATTTGCTTATCAGAGTTAAGCATTCCTTGATGCCTTGCACCAAGTCAGAGGACATCCTCTGAACAAAGCCTATGAAGTCCCGCAGGAGCTGCATGCATCGTCCACATAGCTGACCCATTCTTGTTCCAACAGCAGCACAAAGCAAGAAGAAAAGGAAGGAGATGGAAACAAAAGTTTCTTCTCAATTCATCTGCTTTTTGCACTAGCCTGTCTTCTCACTGTTTGTTCTGTCTTACAGATATTAACATCACACCATGCGTAGATGCTGTAAGGCAGACAGACTTCTGTGCTCAAAAAAATACATTTCACAAGGCTGGTTTCTGCAGATCTCCTAAAGTTCACAAATTGTTATTTAAAATGAGTGCACTGGAGACACACCTTCCTTTCACTTGAAGAGATATAAGATAATGTCCTAAACACATTCTATAGAGAGCAAATGGAGTTTAGGTTATGGAGCATCCACCAAATCCTGTATGAGGCTAGAAAAACTCTGGGATAATGGAAAATGCAACCTGTTTTTGTAAGGCAGCTTTCCACATGAAAGGCAGGCACCACCTTGTCTGCATGTGTACAAGTTGCAGCTACCAATTGGAGAGAGGAAGATGGGGGAAAAAAAACAACCAGCAAGTGAACAGGTTTTTCCAGTTTTTGCTGAAGCACAGATCAGAACAAAGGAGCTGTTGGACAAACAACTCATAACTCAGTCACCTGAGACTTTGCAAATCAGCAAGAATAGAAAACGGGGCGGGGGGAAAGACAGTGGCCAAATGAATGTAGCACCATTTTCTTCCTGTCAAGGCAGTCCTGCTGAGTGGGCTGGATAAGTTAGCAATGGGAGGATGCAAAAATTATCTGGTGTTTTCATGCAGAAAGAGGTAGTAAAAGGAAAATGTTCAATTCTCCTTTTGCTTAATTCACCAGTTTGGTGCATGTGCCCACCACTGGCTGAAGAGTTTTACAAATGACCCTGGTTTAATTCTTGCAGCATGAGGTGATATTTGTAATACTGAGGATTCCAGTAAAAACTGGTTTGATTCATGGTCACCTTAATTAGGGATCTTGTAGGTACAGGTCTGCTGAAAGTTAATCACTTTTACTAACTTCTCATTCATAGATTTGGTGGATTTATTCTAATGATTGCATTTGATACATTTATTGGTAAGTTTTCACCTCTGTCCTTTAATGAATCTTTATTTTCTAAATAAATCATGTTTGAAAATCAACCCTTTGTTCTGCACCCATCTCCAAACACTCATGAACAGACTCACTCAAATCCCTCTGGTTGGCTTTTTTTTCTCTTTATATAATTTTCTGAATCACAAATACCACTTGTCACAAATAAACCTACCTACACTGGTAAACCAAAAGACATGATATTTCAAATACACAATGCAATTCATTACAAAGAATTGTGATTTTGATTTTTCTGGCCACTTCCCTGACCAGCTCTGCAAATCCATTGAGTTCTGATCTCTGTCTGGCTTCTTAATGCTATCAAAAGTGGGGCTAGTATCTCTATTTTCTCATCATGTTTTCTGGATCCTTTCAGTAGGGGTCTTCTAAAGAAAAGGGAATCCATGTAATTGCCAGGTCCTACTTCTGCCACCACTTGCTCTTCACCTTTGCTCATCATTTTCCACCCTTTCAGCTTTCATCTAAAAGCCTGCTACCCATCCCATGCTCCTTCTGTCTCTTGCTCTGTTCTGTCTAATGAACTGTAATGTTTAATTGTGAGGTTCTTTAAATATAACTTGAACTGTACTGCACTGAGATGAGAAAACAACAGGACTGTTTCAATGATACATTTGTTAGTATTGACTGCATTTCTGTGATGCTCTTACTACACGTTTCAAAATGTACTGCAAACACTAAAACAGCTTTCCAATGCATCTGTAAAGGAGATATTCCCAAAATGGTTTATAAACAAGTTTCAGAGGTGCCAAGCTCTTGCAACTCTGTTTTAGATAAGTGGGAATTAAAGAAGTGCATGACACCTGAAAATTAGGCTATAATTTGCCTGAAGGCATAAAATTCAGGTGTCCTGATACATAGTTTGATGACTCAGGCAATTGTTCTTTGATTTGAAACAAATACTTGAAAGCCAGTGTGGAAGGCTGGTTTATGGATCTTCAAAAATACTCTGAAATTACAATAGCTGCTATAAAGATAAGGGTTGAAACTATAAATGAAACGTTTTTGATTGGTTTCATGACCTTGATAAGTTTCCTTATTAATTGAATAAAATATCAGCTCAAGTTTGCAGAAGACGAAAAAAATAATAGTACCATAATAATGTTAGACTATTTTTGCTTTTATTATTGTACAGAACATGCTTCAAATAGTAAATGTCCCACACTCAACATCTTGATTTTTGTCTCCAAGGAAAAAAAAAAAAAATCTGATCCTTTGTACAGTGTTAAAAATGCCTCTCCAAACCATTTCTATTCAGTTTGTGTGCAAAAGAGACTTCCAAGCAGTAACCTTACTGTGTAAAGGCTGTTTGGAATTCTGTATAAATGCATTTGGAAGTTTAAATCTATTTGCCAAAAAACCAGATGGATTCTGTAGCTAAACAGTATTTTCAACAGAAAGCTTCCACTGGTCCAGCATTTAATCTGGCATATAGCTTCTCTGCAAATGACAGAAAATACTGCTTTTGGACACAGTCCCTTAAGCACCTGACATGCACAGTAGGTTTGTTTCATTTTGACTCAAAAATTAGAAAATGTAAAAAAAAATATACTTATTAATCTACCATTTTGCTTATGCAGCATGCCACTGCTTGAACTGCTTCTTTTAACAGAAATTCTCTTATCTGGTTTGCAATGGTGCATAACTTTTGATTGCTCACAAGTTGTCTGTCACTAGAGGGATGTACACAAATAATCTTTCTACTCCTCTTTCCTACATGACCTAGGGCCTCTTCATGCTATCAGGCCCCCGGACACCCTCAGGCTCTGACATAAATATTGGGGGGAAAAAAGGTCAACTTTATTTTAGCTATGGTAGTAAACTTTTAGCTCCTGGGTCTGGATTTTAAAAATACTGCTATCCCTGTAGTTTTAATCAATGGAGAAAGGATTTTTGCAGAGTGTAAGGGAGAGGCAGTGATTGAGAACTTGTGTAGTTGCATCTGACTTGTGTACCAGTCAAATAAGAAAAAAGGTACTTAAAAATCAGGAAATTAATATACTCACATTATTCAATAATCTAAAACTCTTAAGAAATTGAACTAATTAAATTTGTTTTTTATAAAGTTGTCCCATGTAATTTTTTTATTGCAAATTTGTCTTATACACATTTCTTTCACATTCTTCTCTCATCTTCCTGTTCATCTTCCTGTTCAGCACTATACAGTTTAGAAAGATGCACGATGGCTGTACATTGCTGCTTGTTTAGCAACAGATTTGATTCAAAAGGTTGTAGCTTCCCTAAGGCCTAGCAGGTCTTCATTGCCCCCATACCGGCAGTTGAGGTCTCCTCACTTGTACTAATTCAGTACTCTTTAAACTGGATCTATGAAATTTTGTGACTATAAAATAGCAACAGAAAACTATCAACAAATCAAAGGACTTAAGTTCTCAAAATGGACCTATCATTAACAGAATAGTAGAATAAAATAAAGAATTTGAAAAAAAATATTGGGAAAGAACAATTGTAAATTCTGAGCCTAATGTGTGCAACTTATATTACCACTGAGCTCTTTTATATATGTATATATATACACATATGTCTATATGGTGTATATGGTACAAGTGCATATATATATAGACACAAAATACATAAAATATATATAAAAAATACGTGTGTGTGTGTGTGTGTGTGTGTGTGTGTGTGTGTGTGTGTCTGTGTCTGTGTGTGTGTCCGTGTGTGCGTTCACTGTTACGAATTCAGGAAGAGTTCAGCTGAACATAAACAGACTATAGTCATTCAAGCAGGGAGGAAGCCAGATGTGAGGACTTGATAGATCCAAATTTGTGAAAATCTGCCAGGGGTTACTTCATTGCATAGCTAGGCAGAGCTTTATGTGCATTCACTGTGATTTCTGTAGAGTATAAAGGAAGCTGTTCTCACTGCATCTAATTCCTTGGCTGAGGTATTTGCCCATCCTCCTTCAGAGGGAGAGTGCCATCTACTGAAGCATTCCTTTACACAGCTCCCTTGAGCCTTGTCCCATTCACGGATTGACAAAATCCATTCAAAGGGATTGTAAAACTGAACAAGGTTTTAAAAGGAAAAGCAGCTGCTACAGATGTGAATCTCTGTTGTAAAGCACCAGCTGCATGTGAAGGACCAGGCTAAAGATGGTAAATACAACCACTGACTTGTGCACGCTTGTGCTCCAGCTTTTGAAGAGATTAAAGACAATTTCACTCTGGGGTTTCTTCATTCCCAATATATTCTCTGAACTGAGGTTGCATTACCATTTTGCAACTCTTAGGAATGGCATTGATCGGACAATCCAATTTCACTGCTGACTATCAACTGTGGACTTTCCTATCAATTCCTCCTTTCTGTGTTGGTGCTCACAAGATGTACAACTAGTCAGCCAATTTCCTGAACACTGAGAACACCTGGTAACAGTCACCTAGAGTCTGGCTTGGGCTGGTGATGACACAGTATTATTGTCATGCTTTGTCTTTATGTATTTTCCCATTGTCTTGAGCTTTATATTTCATTGTAAATTTTCTGGACTGCTGCTGTATTCAAATAAAGCAGCAGTTTGTGTCATGCCCACAGCTAATGTCTCCTATGATAATAATAAGCATATAAATGGAAATATTTTTGGCATTTTTTATTGCTTTGTTGCAAAAGATAGTATCTCTAAAACATCAAAGGCAGCTCAGAGGTGCCCATGTACCTTAGAGGTTTGAACAAATTGTATAAAAAGAAAGTTAAATTTTACAAGGTAAATTGCCACACAAAGTCATGGAGTCACAGGAGATGGAAACCTGTCAGGTTGTGTTTCATGTGAACACCCTTAGAAAACCACTGGTTTGGTGTGTTTCAAAGCACAGGTGCCTGTCCTGATGCTTTTGCTACCAAGGCACTCCACTGAAGAATCACACAGCCCATAGTTCAAATGTCACATTTGGCAAGACAAGGAGTGAACAAAACTTTGAAAGAACTTGCATTATTTGCCATCGGGCAAATATATTTGAAACACTTTACAATATATTTTCAAAAAAGTTTCACATTATAGTTTGTTTTTCCATCTGGGCACACAGCATGTTATCTTAAACACAATAGAGAATTGAAAGAATAGAAGTGTTTCTGTCCCAATAAGATAGAAGCCACATATCTTATATCAGCTTATGTCCCACAAATCTTTGTTGGTGCCAGTAGGATTGAGTGCACCCTCAGCAAGCTTTCCAATAACACCAAGTTGAGACATGTGGTCAGCACACTGGAGGGAAGGGATGCCATCCAAAGGGACCAGGACAGGCTTGAGGTGGGCCTGTATGAACCTTATGAAGTTCAACAGGGCTGAGTGCAAGGTTCTACACCTGGACAATCCCAAGCATGAGCACAGGCTGGCAGAGAATGGATTGAGAGCAGCCCAGAGGAGAACTTGGAGGTGCTGACGGATGAAGAGGTCAGACATGAGCCAGCAATGAGAGCTCACAGCACAAAAAGCCAGTCATGTTCTGGGCTGCATCCCAAGCAGCGTGGAAGTAGGATGAGAGAGGCGATTCTGCCCCTCTGCTCTTGCCCTGCGAGACCCCACCTGCAGTGCTGTGTCCAGCTCCGGGGCCCCAACACAAGGACACGGACCTGCTCAAGCAAATCCAGAGGAGCAGAGGGCTGGAGCGCCTCTCCTGTGAAGGCAGGCTGAGAGAGCTGGGGTAGTTCACTCAGGAGATGAGGGAGCTCTGAGATCATACAGCTGCCTGCCAGGACCTGTGGGTAGGGGGCTACAAGAGGGCCAGAGAGTGACTTTTTACAGGGGCATGTAGTGACGGGACAAGGGGTAATGGCTTTAAACTGAAAGAGGGCAGGTTTAGTTTAGATATTATGAAGAAATTCTTACTGTGGGAGTGGTAAGGCACTGGCACATGTTACCCAGAGCAGCTGTGGATGCATCAGCTGTGAAACTGCTCAAGGTCTGAATGAATGGAGTTTGGAGCAACCTAGTCTAGTGGAAGGGGTCCCTGCAAGAGCAATTTGCAGAACCATTAAAAAATAAGTATATTAAATGCAGCCAACTCTCAGGACAGTTCTGAAAACCTTACAGGCCCTGGCAAATTGTCTTCTCTCACAGGTTCCTTATCAAAGCTCAAAGAGCCTCTTCATTAAAAGTGCCTTATTGTTGGTTACAGCAAAAGCTGTAGCAATGTGTGCTGCACTTGAGGCACACATCCGTTACCCCTAATCCCTGCAGAAAGAAAAACCTTAAAAGGAAAGAGGGATTTGCTTCTCTGTAGGCCAGACTGTTCATCAGTTAACCACAGTTTTTATTTCAGCACCAACTACTCACTGGTTGCTGCCTCCATAGAAGGCTACATTTCAGAAAACTTAACAGCCACAATAAATAGACCTAACCAGTGAATCACTTTGCCTACACATGGAGCAGCAAAGCTTTTGGGGATTATGTTTTCTTCTCATCTTCCATGCCTTTTTCTTCCATCAGTTGCTTTTGGTGGCCTCCCAGTCATTGTCCCCAGAATTTACAAAACTCATGTTAAAATGGCATATGCATGTCCCTTTTTTTTTTTTTTTTTTTTTTTTTTTTTTTTTTTTTTTTTAGCTGGTTGTTTTATGTTTTTTGCCTCAAAAAAGAACAGACAATAGCCTTCTAAAAAATAAATCAGCCGTGTAAGATTCAAGAAGTGTGAACTGCTCATCAACGCTCTCAAGTAAATGGTGTGATTCTTGAAGCTGTCCTTGTGCACGGCTAAGAGTTAGACTCGAAATGGGTCCCTTCCAACTCAGAATACTGTGTGACTCTGTGAATTGTAGCACTTGGCCAGCGCACACGCACCGCTTCGCACATCACTCAAAGGCTGCTCACTCGCAGCCCTCGGCCGCATCTTTGTGGCGGCACACAAGCCTCTCGGGCGCGCTTTCCCCGAACGTGGCGCTGCTGTATCGCAGCCAAGCGGCGGCCGCCAGCCTGCTGCAAAAGGTGCTGCAGTAAAGCGCCGCGGCACCGCCATCTCGCTGCCGGTGCGCGGAGCAGCGGCCGCCAATGCCGCTGTGTCCGAGCCGCGCTCCGCACACAGCCCCTTCCGAGCGGCTCCCGTGCATGGACGCGCACCCGCGCCACAGGTAACCCGGCAACGGCCGGGGGGACCCTGTGCTCCCGCCGCCCTTTAGGGAACGAGAGGATACAAGGCGACAGCTTGTAGCCGCGGCGGTGCGGGGGGAGCCGGAGCCCGCGGCAGGCGGCACACGCAGTCCCCGGGCGTGGGGCAGGGGCACAGCCTGGCGGGCCGGGCGGCCGCCACCTGCCATCTTGCTTATGGACGGGTACCCGAAACCAAGATGGCGCTCGGGCGTTGAGCGCGGGGCTGGCGCTTCCCCGCCCAGAGCGGAAGTGACGATTCGGCGGTGGCGGCAGCAGCCCCCCGTGCCTCCCCCCCGCCCCTCCCGGTGGTTTTTGCTTTTCCCCGCGGGCTTCACGTCTCTTCCTCCGACGAGACGGAAAATGGCCGCCCGGCTGCCATAAGGGAGCGGGGCCGCCGGCAGTTCCGCCCGCTAGGTGAGAGAAGGGCGGAGGTAAAGGGGCTGCGTGGAGGTTTGGCGGGGCGGTGGCCCCTGGCTGGGGGGAAGATGGCGGGGGGAGCCTGAGGGGGAGCAGCCCGGCCCTGCCCCGCCCCCCCCCAGCGCGCGGTGCTCGCGCGCCGCGCCGTCCCGCCTTCCCGCGCCGCGTGACCTCGGCGCTCCGCAGCCATTATCCCGATTATCCCGATTATCCCGCGCCAGCCGACGGAACGGGACGGGAACGGGCGGTCGCCGTCACCGCCCTGACGCGGGCCACCGCTTCCCGCGGGAACCGGACCGAACCGGTGCCGTTCCTCCCTGCTCCTCGGGAAGCGAAGGTAGAAGGGGAAGGGGCGGTGGGAGGCGGCAGCGGAGCTGCCTTGGAGCTCCTGGAAGCCTGGCGGGATGGGGGTGTAGGGTATGTGGGGAATGGGCGGCCGGCCGGCCCCGTTGGGCTTGCGCCCCGGGTGCGCGGCCTTTGGCTTTGGGCCTCCCTGGGGGAGGCAGGAAGGCCCGAGGGGATGTGGTGGTACAACACTGGTTACAGGAATGTTAAATTTCCCCGTTATCGTTGTGGGTGTGACACTGAGGGAAACGGTGCCGGAGAGAAAGGATGGTTCCCGGTATTGGATCAGCCTTTACGGTCGTTGGAGGAACTTCCCTTCGGGCATGGCTGTGGTTCAGGCGCTTGTGCCTGAGGTACCCCACGCCTCCCTGCGCCTTTCCTGCCCTGATTGCAGATGCCCGCAGAACCCGGTGAGGGACCGCGGTGGGTTTTATGCCCCTCGCTGAAAGGGTCTATTGTGTTGCTAGTCTTGATTGTACTGTACTATGCAACCATTGCAGGATCATTCCCGTTATTTCCCCTTTGCTTTGTAAACCCCCTACTTTAATTCTATGAAAATCAGGCTCTTGTTTTGTGTGTCATGATTCTTTACGAAGTCAGTAGAACCCATCACTTGTTTATCTCGGCGATCAAAGTTTTGTCCTCAGAGGAACAGTTAAATTTTACTACAGAAAGACGTGAGGGCATGCAAAACAAAGGTGCTCCTGACTCTGCGAGTAGTCACTGCTTAAGCAATGCAAATGTATAAAAATATCACTTAGAATAGTTGTTCTTGGTGTGGGAGGGATTAGTTAAACAGCGTGGAGTTGCAGGAAAATGCTGTCTAGCTGCTTTTTTCCTCCCTCCTCCTCGTCCTCCTCTCTGATAATCATATTGTTTTGGACAAAAGTGGGGAAAATGAGGACGGGGTAATGGTTTTGGCACTGAGGTGTGCTCCTGGCATGCATCTGTCTTGTGTCAGGGAAAGTAAGAATTGCATCCTCCCACTTGTCGCTTTTGATGTTGAGTGACAGGCTGTGCTTAATGGCCAGACCAGGTTCGGTGTGTTACATATCTCGGTGCTCGGAGCTGGAGTGCCTCTGTCCTGGGCAAGGCTTTAGCGTGCAAGCCTGTGTGGAGCAGCTGCTCAGGTGAGGGCTGTGGCTGGCAGAATCCTGGGGGCAGGAGGTAGGAGCACGTACCATGAAGAAGAGAATGCAGAAAACTTGAAGTAGTCGTAGGAATCTAGAAAAAAATCAGCAGGGAGCTGTTTGGAGCTAGGGTGCAGATATTTGGGTGGATTATATTCAGGCTGGTTGTCAAGGGGAGGTAGTGCTGTATGGGTTTGTGGAATACCAAAGAACATTTGCGGTTTGTTTACAGGTAGCGAAGGTAGGTGAAGAAAGCTACTGAAGCAAGTGCTGTGTTTGTCTGTGTGAGAGTTTCTCCCAAAGGTATTCCGAAAAAGCACGTCGCTTGCTTGTTCATTGTGCTGGCACTGGCCTCGTGCAGCTTTGTGGTAAATGGGATCTGGGAGGTGATGTGCCTGAAAAGGCAGCTTTTGTCCAGAGTAGTTTTCTTATGGATCACTGCTGCAGCCCACCAAGCACCTCTGAGGGTGTCAGTCTTGGAACAAATGAGGGTGGGAAGATTGCCTTTTCTGCAGCAGCAGTTTGTGTAGTTCATAGCAGAGACTGGGGAGACCATGGTGTAAGGGCATATGAAAACATGGTGTGTAAAACACACACACAAAGATAACAAAGGCTGTCCAAAACAGTATGTGTCCAAAAGCATGTTAATTCCTTTTTGTGTCTGGAACCATTTCTCAGTCACTTTGGTTTCTTTGTTTTTTTAGTTAGAGGAGAAACATGGTTTTGTTTGCCATTAGTATTACATAAAAGACAGCTAACAATCATATGACAGTTTTGCAGAGGTGATTTTGATGTTACTGGGATGCTGCTGGTTTTTGACTTAATTTACAAATATTTTGTGTTATTTTCTGTATAGAAATTAATGAGTTGGGGGGGAAAAGGCCTTTGTATGTTTTACTGTTTCCATTATATTTCCGACATATGAAGCGGGTGAAGTAGGGCTCCCCCCTCTTGTTTGTATATAACAAGATAGTTTGGCCAAATTTGCCACGGAATTTTACTGTTTGAAGGAATCCAAGTCACCGATGATCTAAGTAGCATGGGTGTAAGTGACTATGAAATGCATTCTGTTATTATGTGTGATGTGCCACTGCTAGAGTTGTGGACATTAAAAAAAAAGGGGGGGGGTAGGAGAGTGGATAAGAAAGCGCAGCAGATGTGCAAGTACTGAAGAGATGACTTACAGTGCTGTCTCATTAAGACTGACTTCCTTTATTTCTGTGGGTGTATTATGAGAAACTATTACAAATTCTGTGGAATTTTATGAAGACTGTCCTATCCCCTTTTGTGTTGTCATGGTTGTATAATTGTCCCGTCTTTTGAAGCCTGAATCTCTGAATGAAAACACATTTTGGCAACAGCTTGTGAATTACTTAAACAAGATTTTTATTTAAATCTACCAGACAGCTCTCAAGTAATGCTTAAGCAAGAGAAATACAGACTACTAAATAGCTATAAAGGAAGGGTAGCTAAAGTAATGGATCTAAGAGGAAGCAGTGTTTTGCTAGTGTAAGTGGGTATAACTGTCCTAAAATGTCTTAAACTTACATGAGATGTATAACTTGTTAAACGGCTTGAGATGTGTTGTATCTACAGTCTGTGTACTCTGACAAAACTCCAACATCAGTGGTGTAGTGAGGACTCCTAAAAATACTATATAAAAGGAATTGATTACCATTTTCCTTGTCTTTTTTATTAAACATAGCTAATGCTGACAGTGTCACTTACTTCCTTATTGTGTTGCTTGTGATGGGATGAGCCTGATTGTGTTGTATGTCTTGTTTTTGCTTGATGGTCGCATTTGCTGGCCAAGATTGATTGAAGACACCCAGAGATCCTGTTGTTTTTTTCATTAAGAAACTTATCTGGATGTGATTCAATAACTGACAAATGATGGGCTAGCCAAATTTCGGAAAACGTTGTAGTTTCTGTGTTAAGTCTTGGTTGTTTTGGGTGTGTTTGGTTTCGGCTATTTTGACTTCATATGTGTGTGCTTTTTTTGGTGAGGTTTTTTGTTTGTTTGTGGGTTTTTTTTGGTGCTTTGTTTTTATTTTTAAAGCTGCCTGCAAGTATTGTTAAAAATCTTAAATGCCACCAAGCTTCTCGAGGCTGTGCCAAGCTGGTTTCAGGGAAGCTTTAAGTTTGTGGTGCTGCCAAAAGAAGCAGTCCTGCCCGGCTGCTATTTCAATTTCCTTGTGTTGGCCCAAGTGTTTGTGGGCTGTGTAATGAACCAATTAAAAAAAAAAAAGTATTGAAAATGATCCAGTATGTGGGTGCAGAAATGCTTAGACTGGCATAGGAGAGATCATCAGGAATGTGAGGAAACACAGGATAGGAGAGATGGGACTGTTTCTTTAAACAAGCAGAGCCACCTTATTCTGTAGAGCTGCAGCAGCTTCCTTTGTAAAATCCACATTTTTTTAACATGGCAGTGAATGGTTGAGAGCCAGGCAGCTCCTTTCAGTTATGTAGGGTGGAAAGTGAGGGGAAAGAAGTGTGTGGATTACAGCCCTGGTGTTTCATGCACAGGTCATGTTCCTAGCAGTTGTGGTCCTCTCTTAAAAATGCTGGGTGATAGTGACGACACCTTTTCACGTTGTTGATGCACACCTTTGGCCGAGTATGAGTCTCTTCCGAGAGAGCAACAAATGATGCTCAGGACTCTTTTTTATTGCCCTTTACTGTGCCCTTATTTGACGTGGTGTAGCCACTCCAGCCTGGCCATGAGCAGGAAGAGGCTGTGGGTGGTTTCCTGTGCTGCTGTGAACCAGGATGTTGTAGCTGTGGTGCTCTGAGGATGGGTACTTTTTCTGTGAAGGTGTGCAGCATGTAGGAGCTGACTGTCACAGACAGCTGTTTCCCTAAATACTTTTGGTACTCCCGCAGTTCTTTTCTAAATCAGCTTTAATAAAGGTTAATAAAATTTTAGATTCTTGCATATTGTGAGAATATTTACATGGACAAAAAAACCTCAGCTATGTAGTCTTTTCACTTCTGTTCCCAAGTGTTGTTTGGATAAGTGGGTCTTATGTGTCAAGGTTTTACCTGTTACAACTAAATGGAAACAAAAGCTGCAAATAGTAAAATGTTTTTTATTCGATTATTAAGATTTTTTATTAAAAGGTTGTTTTTTTTGTTTTGTTTTTTTTTTTTTTTTAAGCATTGTATCCATACTCATCTTAAGAAACTTAAATGAGAAAAGGGTAGCAGATATGTTTTAACTGCCAGGGTTGGATGTGGTATAGCTAATGTGTTGTTTAAAAGCAGAGAAGTATGGCTACTTTTCACTTTTGTCAGTTTCTAGAAAATATTTCTAAGACTGCAGAAGTCACTTACCAGAGTTTGAGTTATGGTAATTTAAGATCCTACCTTCTACTTAGAGGTTTTAAAAGTGAAGCAACTATCTTGCTGTATATCCGCAGGATCTAAAGACTTACCTGAATTAGGGTTTGGGATTTCAGCTAACACCAGTTTAAGTCAGAAATATAGGTTATATAAGTATTCATTTAAAATATCATCCTGAACTTGAAGTTTGTATTGCTTTTTCTGTACTAGACTTCTGAATGCCTTCGTTACCCTTTACTGGCTAATACCATCTCGCCTTTTGTCTAGACAAAATCTGAAATGGTCCGATACACTACTGTGCTCCTTCGGAGACTCATGCTTGCTGATGATGAGAAGTAAAAACTTAATCTTAATAAAGCATATATTTTGTAGAAATTGGAAATATCTTGGTCACTACTAGTGAATGGTAAGTGGACTTTTGAAAGCAGTGTTTATGAACACAAATGCTACATTTCTTCTTTTAGATGAAGAAAACACCTATGAACAAGTGTGGAAGTGTCCTTTAGGAGCAGTCAATGTCTTATGCCTTTGGATTTAATGAATTGAATTGTTGAGCTGCAGAATTTCTGAAGATCCAGCCTGTCTGTGGAGAACTGGGATAAAATCCCTGTTTTGTTGCTTGAGTGGAATTGAAAAGTGTGTTTCATCTTGGGTTGGTCTACAAGTGTACATAGTCGTGAGGCTTGGAGGTAATTAAAAGCTGAGGCCAGTAAAGAATTCACACATTTGAGACTGGCTTTGTTATTACAGTTATGCTTCCTTTCTGCATAACTGTGGAAGAACTAGTTCTTGAAGATTCTAGCTCTTTAGGTGAAATGATGTATGTATGCATTTTAAACTAGAAGTTATACTAGAGTAATGCTTCTGTAAATATTGCAAGAGAAACCTAAAGATATAGCTTTCAGCGTTGGCCTGAGTTCTCATCCCCATTTTTTTTTCCCAGTAACGTAGCTCTAGTGAAGTGCAGAGCTGTGTGCTAGAGCTCGAACTGGTCTAAAAGTTTGCCACTGTTCTTTTTGTCTCCCTCTTTCTGGCTGCATGCTGTTATTTGCTCCATAATCCGGCTCAGGGTGGCCCTTAATTAAGCCACATGGATAACCTAGTTGAATGAAAGTGGTTTCTAGGTATCAAGAGCTGGTCGCTGGAGAACCTGAATGAAGGCTGTCAGGGCTGCTGTGAAGGTGAGAATAATGTGTTACACAGCCCTGTTACCAGGGCTGAGGAAGCAGTGGTCATACATGGAAAGGGATTTGCCACTTGGCAGTGGCTGGCTCTTGAGCTGCTCCGGTCTGAGTGTGCAGCATCACTGAGTCCAAGAGTAAATTTGCTATTTCTTATGTATTGTCTTTTCATGAGAGTAATGTTTGAACCTGTTTAAGCAAAAAGGTGCTTCCTTTTAGCAAATGTTTGTGTCTTTGACAGTCTCACTTTTTGTTCTATAGGACTCAGTATTGCTGAAAGCACAAATACAGAGGTTTGAAATAGTTTCTTCATTGACACCAACTAACAGTTTGAGGTAAGTTTAGCTTAAGTCCTTTTTAAATGTTCTGATTGAACTCAGCTATTGAAAATTAAAACTTATTTTGCTTTCCTAAATTTCATGCTTGCAGTAAGGAGCTACAGTATATAAAACTGTCTTGTAAAGATCAACTCTACTTGTCATACATAGAATGCAAATAATTTAATGCTGAGATTGAGTTACATCATAAACATTGTGCATCTGATGCTTGGTTTGGTAATTACTTGTAACAGAAAAAAAACCCACCAGGTTTTGTTTTCTGTCACTATTGGAAAATTGGCATGTTTTAAACAGTTTAAAAGGTCTAAATTTATGTTGCCTGTGAGTATTGATCCTAACAGATTACAAGCCATTTTCTGTAATTTCTGTAATTGAATTCAATGAATTAGAAAATATCTTCAGAGTATAGGTTCTGCAGACTTGCTTTTTAGTGGAAGGAGTCAATAAAAAAGAGCATTCAACATACTCTTCTTCGCCAAGGTAAATAGTTTTTTCTGAGTTGCATGGAAGTCTGGTTTAAGTTCAGTTTTTGCTGGGCTGGTTTCAAATGAGGTTACATCTCTTAGGCCATGCAAACTCTCATGGGGAAGGCCATGTGGGGCAGGAGGAGCCAGTTACTAGGAGAAGAGTTCATCTACTTTTCTCTTTTGGGCTCTCTTAGATGTGTCTAAAGTCTCTGTAATTTTGGTAACTTCTAAATTAAACTCTAATGTTGTTTTTATCTTTACATAATTGAAATACCACCCAGGTAATGAGAAAGACTATGTGAGAAAAAGTGCTTGTTGTGTTGAGCTAGAATTTTTGATACAGTAATTTTAGGCCTGTTTGCAATACAAGCGGTAAATGTTTGATTTTTTCAGTTTTTTGTTTTAATTTTATTATTAAACTATTATAATTGAGCATTCAAAGGCTTAAAAATGTCTAGTTACTTGTTCATAGCTTTTATTCAGGTTGTCTAATGTGACACTTGTTTTTTGTTTTTTTTTTTTAAAGCTGGGCAATTTCAAAAGAAAATGGTAATGGGTCAAAGTTTTTATTAATTAAATTGGGGATTTTTAGCCACTGATCCGAAAAGAAAAGGAAAAGGTGTGTATTTTTTATGGTTAGCACTAATTCTAAATATCTATTATGACTGTACATAAGAAGAAATTATAGTGTATTATGAATTACTTTCTTTTAGTTGTCATTGATTTATAATCAGTTGTAGTTTTCATAGCTTAATTTGTGCTGAAGCATGTTGAATCTTGTTGCAAGCCATATTGTTTAACTAGTTGTTAAAATCTTTAAGTTAGCTGTGCATTTTACATGTAGGTTAAAAAGCTAAGTTAATCTAAAAATATGCAGGATGGGCGTCTTGAGCAGTGGAAATTCAGATCAGAGTGATGAGCTTTAGTACATAGGGTTAAAAGAAATAAAGCCTGTGGGTCAAATTAACAACTGCTGGACCAAATACTTCAGGGATTTTTCTTTGCTGGTGTGAATGTTGCATTGTAGAGGACTGTGAACTCCTCCTGGAGAAGGAACAGTGCATTGGAAATGCAAGAGAAGTATAAACTGCACAACAGCTAGAATTTTGTTACAATATATTAAGATGTCTGGAGTTACAGTATTCTTGCCTTAATTTGCAGAAATGTTTCATTTTCTGCTGCTCTTCCTTTCTCCTACAGGATCTCTCTGCAGTTGAATCTGGAAAAAACCTTTACTGTTACACTTCATGTTTTCAGAGAAATTGTGTGCACTGCAGCAATGTTAAATTCTTTAAAATGTGGTTAAGTTTTTAATTTGCTAATAAATGTACCTACATTGTCTTCAAAGCTCTTTTGTTTAGCTAATGCTATACTACTTTCTAATAGTGTCACTTTAGTAGATGCAAATTTTGTTCATTTTTGTCATTTACATGGATGCTAAATGGTTGCTTCTATTTTTTTTCCCTCTCATTGCTTTTCCTTTTGGGAAGGAGTAGATCTACTAGCAAAAATGGGTCGATCTAATTCTAGATCACATTCGTCAAGATCGAAGTCCAGATCTCAGTCCAGCTCTAGGTCAAGATCCAGATCACATTCAAGAAAAAAGAGATACAGGTAAGTCTTACTGCATGAACAGGTGATTTGGTATATTAGTTTTTGTCCATAGATTGGTTTTCACTTGCATGATGCTATGGCAGAAGTGAGCCTGGAATCCTGTTTCATTTTAGGCAGAACGTAAACTATGCTTTGAATGTAATTTCTGTTTAATTTTTTCTCCCCCCTTTTCCTGTATCTCAGGATAACTTCAGAATGGTAGTGATTCTTCATGTTTTCTGGACCATTTGATTCTTCCCTTCTGCTTTACATGATGTTTTCTTCATCTAGTCTCTTTCCCTGTAGTTTTTTATTTCTCATTAAACTTTTCATATTTGAAGTAACTTAAGGCTTCAGTAAATAAGCTTTGCTGTATGTTGTCTTCTCAGTTGCCTGCAGTGTTTGCCTCATCTTACTTATTAGTGGACATTACCATCTCCCATAAGGAGTGGGTCAGTTGAATTTACTGCCTCAGCTGATGCCCTGCACTGGCTGGCATATTACACTGGGGGGTCATGTCACTGCCTGTTCCAGGCTGTGAACCGTGGTGGCTGAGAAACTGAATGATGTGTTCCAGAGTGGTGATGATTTCTAATAAAATGTCTGGGGAGGCCAGTGAGGCTGGTAGTGTCTTAACTATGTGATGCCAGGTTTCACAGTCCTTAGCAGTATAGACATGTTTATTATAATTAATTTATTTCAGAAATAATAAATAAAGAGAGATTGTAGAAGTTACTTAAAGACCGGGAGTCTGCATCCTTTACCTTCGACTGCATTTTGAGAAATCTAGCATTTTGCATCAAGGCACTTCTTTTTTTTTTCTTTGTTTTTTTTTTTTTTTTCTCAGATTTTCGAGTTGTAAAATGTTAATGATTGATTTTTAATTTTAGTTCCAGGTCTCGGTCAAGGACGTATTCCCGATCTCGAAGCAGAGATCGTGTTTATTCTAGAGATTATCGCAGAGATTACAGAAATAATAGAGGAATGAGACGTCCCTATGGTTACAGAGGAAGAGGTAGAGGGTATTATCAAGGAGGAGGTGGTAGATACCATCGTGGAGGTTATAGGCCTGTTTGGAACCGAAGACACTCCAGAAGCCCTAGGCGTGGCCGCTCCCGTTCCAGAAGTCCAAAACGAAGGTCGGTGTCTTCCCAGAGGTCCCGGAGCAGGTCTCGTCGATCTTACAGATCTTCCAGGTCCCCCAGGTCCTCTTCATCTCGTTCTTCATCCCCATACAGCAAATCACCTGTCTCTTCCAAAAGACGCGCATCTCTGGAAAAGCAGGCAAAGAAAACTGAAGGGGCTCCTTTGCAAGACAGTCCCATGAAAAATAAATCACAAGATGAACAGAAAGATACATTTGAACACGACCCATCAGAGTCTCTTGACGATTTTAACAAATCATCAGCAGCTTCTGGCGACATTTGGCCTGGCCTTTCAGCGTACGATAACAGTCCAAGGTCACCCCATAGTCCTTCTATTGCCACCCCACCTAGTCAGAGTTCATCTTGCTCTGATGCCCCTCTGCTTAGCACAGCCCACTCCGCAAAGGACACACCTCAGCATTCCCATTCCATTCAGCATAGTCCTGAGAGATCTGGCTCTGGTTCTCTTGGAAATGGTTCTAGCCGCTATAGTCCTTCTCAGAATAGCCCATTGCATCATATCCCTTCAAGGAGAAGCCCTGCAAAGACAATCCCATCACAGAGTGCACCCCGTGAGGAGGCTCGAGTGCGGTCGTTTTATCCTGAGGGTGGTGAACAGGAAACTGCAAAAGGTGGAAAGTTTATGAAAAGGTAAGAACCAAATTATAAGCCTACTGTTGCCTCTTAAAAATATTTTTAGAGTTTCGTCGAGATCATCACCATAACCTTGGAAAATGCATTATGGAAGGCTAGTAATACTAGTCTGGTTAGAATTGTGCTTGAAAGATACATATGCCTTTTCCTGCTAGGATGCTTCAAGGCCTTGAATGCTGGGTAGTAGAGACAGGGACAGGTATCCTTGAGAAGGAATTGATTTGTGCTTTTCCTCTATGGTTTATTGTCTTGTACTCGATTTTTTACTATTATGAAAAATCTTAATTGGAATAGTGCATCAGACTTGCTGGCCTGATAGTGAACTCTGTTCAGGTATTTCAGAATTTTAATACTTTGTGTAGTTTAAAATGCAAGTATTCTGGCAGTCTAGAAATATCAGTGTTGTGCAATAGTTTCTTTATGTTGACATAAACAGCATCAATTAGCTAATTGTGTGGTGCAGTGTGAAAACTTTGGTGTTTTGAATTGCCTTACTTATCAAAGAGGGTAGGTGTTGGTATTCTAGGAATATAATGCTGTTGATGTTGATGAAGGAAGTTCAGTGTATATATTCCAATGAATGTAAAATTCTTCTATTTGTTCTTAAAAAGGTTGACATAGTAGTAATTTTTGAAAGTTGTTAAAGTCTTGCTGGCATTAGACTGTTCATTTTGAATGTGACTGGTGTTTCAGTGGATTTCTTACAAAAAGAGTTAGAGAAGTTGTGACTATGCTATATAGGCTTGATTGTGGGCTTTTAAATTAATTTGTCTAGTCAGTGCTTTATTATGTAAAAAAATTACTGCTTAGGAGATCAAAAATACAACTTGCCTAAGATGTGTTGGAGTTGGTGAACGTATTAGAACCTGTGTGAACATAGCATACAGATAAGGCAGTGACTGAAATAATTAATCGGTGTGTTTCTGTGTTTAGGAGAGCTGCCTTCTAATGGTTCCCTGCTTGAACACAATATAGTGAATGCACTAAACTTGTGCCAGATTGTGGAATTATCTTAGTAGTGTGCAGGATCTTGAAAAGAATTCACTTTTTTATGCTATTACTTCAACTCTTTCAGTAAAAGAAGTGGAAAAATGAATTGCAGTCTGAGTTTTCAAACCATGTGAATTTGGTGGAAAAAATTACTAGTGTAATGAGAGAGAATGTGAAACTGGGTACTGATTAGGAAAACAAGCGAGTAAATTTCTAGGCATTCTGCAGAAAGGCATTATATGCTTCAGATGCCTCCATTAGTGCATAAATGACAGTGTATACAGTGTTAATGGTGTGCCAAGCATTGCATGCTACAGTTAATTGCTCGGAGGAATGTATTTTCATCTTCTTTTGGTGTGGAATTGACTCAAAAGGGGAATGCGAGTGAACTGGAATGAATGCAATCCAGAGTTACCAGTCTCTTCTTTGCTATCCACAGGTACACAGATGAAGAGTCTAGAGTATACCTGCTTGATAGGGGTAATACCAGGGAGAAGGAGGCCCAGAAGGAGAGAGGATCAGAAAAAGGGAGGACAGAGGGAGAAAGGGAATGGGAGGAACAGGAAACTTTAGATTTTTTCGTTGATAAAGAGACTGGGAAGGAAAAGTTTAATGACTCTGAAGGGGAGGACACAGAGGAGACAGAGGATTACAGACAGTTCAGAAAATCTGTCCTGGCAGATCAGGGTAAAAATTTTCCTACTACATCTCACCGGAATGCTGAGGAGGAAGGAACCAAATACAAATCTAAAATATCAATCAAGGGCAATAGAGAGAGCGATGGATTTAGAGATGAGAAAAGTTATAAGCTTAAAGAGACTGGCTATGTAGTGGAAAGGCCTAGTGCAACAAAAGATAAGCACAAGGAAGAAGACAAGAATTCTGAGAGACTAATGATGAAGAAAGAAACTCAGTCACCTGAGCAGGTAAAGTCTGAAAAGCTCAAAGAACTCTTTGATTACAGTCCTCCTCTACACAAGAATCTGGATGCGAGAGAAAAATCCACCTTCAGAGAGGAGAGCCCACTTAGGATCAAAATGATAGCCAGTGACTCCCATCGTCCTGAAGTTAAACTCAAAATGGCACCAGTACCTCTTGATGATTCCAATAGGTAAATTATTCCACCTTACAGTGTGGTTCTCCACTTGCTTGCAGTGTTGTTCGTATTTATTTAAACGAGTGGTTTCTTTTGTGTGTCTCTTTGTTGTTGATGCATTTTAGACCTGCTTCCTTGACTAAAGACAGGCTGCTTGCTAGCACACTTGTCCATTCCGTCAAGAAGGAGCAAGAGTTCCGATCCATCTTTGACCACATTAAGTTGCCACAGGCCAGCAAAAGCACATCAGAGTCATTTATTCAGCACATTGTGTCCTTGGTTCACCATGTCAAAGGTATGTGTTTCATTTATTTTACCAGATATGTGTCTGACAAGATCATTTAAGTCTGTTTGCCGTTTCTAGTACGGGAAGATTTCAGCCCTTTTCTAATGTTGTGATTTACCCAGACTTTCTTCCTGTTGAGGTATGCATGAAAATAATTAGAAAAATAATGGCCACAGAAACTGGGACAAAAAACCTACAAGCAGTGTAGAGTATAATAGCAGGTATTCTATGTTTCTGGATAAATTTTTGATCCTAGGTAGCATAGAAAGTTTGAATTTCTTCAGTGTACTTTAAACATACGCTGGTCAGTTTTTCTAATTTTATTTTAATGAGTTTACCATACAATTTTATATTAAATGTTGTAGTGTGAGTTGAGAGATGTCTTTGGACTGTAAATAACAATGGACTGTAAATAACTCCTTTTGGAGTACCCTAGAGGTCATTTCCAGATTCTTATTAGAAGGGATTTGTTTGGGTTTTTTTTTCTCAGCAAAATTTAATAAAAATTGTATTCTAAATGGTAGTAAAGTTCATGGTTATAATGTGTATATGATAGTAGTTTCAGGAATTTCATTTACACAAACTTGCAGTGGCTAAATAAACCTCCATTAAATAAGTTATACACTAATTATTTTCTGATATAACAGTAGTGGCTATTTTCTATAAACACCAAGAAGAACCCTCAACAAACTAAGCAGAGCAAAAGTCCTCCCCCAAAACCACTGAAATGCAAACCTGGACCATATGATACTTCAAAGTAGATATGTTTCATTTAGGTCATATCCTCTTACGTTTTTTTATGGGACAATAGATAATTCCTAAAATCTCCTGGGGAGTGTTCTTTGAATGTTTTTTTTCTATAGCATTTGCTTTATTTCACTGGACTGTTGTCTTGCTGTTGTGTTAAATGTAACTGAGATAAGACAAAGCTGGTGAAAGTAATTTTGCCGTATCACCACAGTAAAGGGAAAAGTGGAAATGCTTAATTAGGTACCAGTTTCAATGAACCTGTCTGTAAGCATTGTTTTTAAGATGCATTACCTTCTAAAATTGCTGAGATTTGTGTGCTAGAACTATGTGCTGAGTTCAGTTAAAAATCTCGATTTTATTGACATAATTCAGATTACTAAAGCGAAGTTATTTCCTTCATATTTATTTACTTACCAAGTAATAGTCAACGATAAGGGACTACAATAATACATTAGTTAAAAAAAATATTGGGATACCTGTTTAGTATATAATGATTTGTTGTGAACATATCTATTTATTGATGTGTAAAGAAATATAAGACTCAATCCAGTGAGAGCTTCTGAAAATTTTTTGCTTATATGATACATATGTAGCTGTAGGTGAAAATAATACTTTCACATGTTGATCACAGAATAGAGTTTTTCTTAAATTTTTGTATGTTAAATATATTATAAATTTAACAGCCTGTCTGGTCAAGAATATGTACTGTTATAGTTATTTTTGAAAGCAGAGCATCTCTTTAAGTTTCAGATTGACTGTGGTCTGTGATCAGAATTTTTGTAACTTTTTTGACAAACTGAAGTTATGTTCATTATTGGTGTGATGCGACCAGTCTGAACAGCTCTTTATTAATGTAGAGCTGAAAATGCCCAGTGATGTTTTCTTTTTCATTGTAACTAGGTCCTGGAATGTGTTTTGAAATGGCAAAATCCATGTTACAAAAGTAAAATAGCTGTTGAAAGATACAGATGCCAAACAGGCAAAGTTGAACCTTCTGTCTTCCTGGCAAAAATGGCATAAAAACAGAATTACTAGCTCAAATTCCTGTGTTTGATGGAATTATGATTGAGGCACTACCCTTGTAGTGGCCGTTTCAAGTTTTAATGGTTGGTTATGAGACAAATGCTGGATGCCGGGCGGTAAGTTGATACAGATGTATGTTGACCTGTTAAGCAGATAGCTTGCTTCATATGTAACATTTCATAGCTCATGACTTTTATGTATTTCTATATTACATTTAAACACATTTGTTGAGCTGATTTAAAAACTGAGTTTTGCTGTGGCTAATTTAATTGTATCTGAAGGAAGGAGAAAATTTGTCAGAGGAGTTGTCAAGTTTGCCAAGATGCCAGATGCTTAAATGAGTTTATTTATGCATAGGTGTCTTAATTGTATTGTTTATCATCACCCAATCAAGAAAATGTATTCCTTTAAGAAAAGAGTTGTTAGGTCATTCATGTAGTTATTGAAGTGTACATTACTTAAATGTTTTCACTAATTCTTATTTTAAATTAGAGATGAGATGAGATGAATGGTAAAGTGTACTTGCTGCAAATATTAAGGACACAAAAGTAATTTCACTTTCTCAAAGCATAAAATAATAGTTTAAGAAATTGCTTTATCATTAGAGGAAAACGTCACTGAAAATGAGCAAATCCAGTCAGTAAATGATGCTTGGATTTGATGTGATATGATCATGGCATAGTAGATTTGCAGTGATGCTGTGCGCTGTTATTTTGTTTGGGTTACAGTGTGTGTAAAAATAGGGAAAACACCACATTTGCTTGTCCTGATAAATTTATTGAAAGTACTGTAGGTTTTGCCTGCTACTTGCCTTTCTGTCAGGAGTAAAATATATGTCAGTTGAATGAAGCTAATGAAACAGTGTTTTTTCTATTGTAACCAACAGAGCAATACTTCAAGTCGGCTGGAATGACCCTAAATGAGAGGTTCACTGCATATCAGAAAGCAACTGAAGAGCACTGCACCCGACAAAAGAGCCCAGAAATACATAGGTATACGTTAACTGCATATGTAGACGCTTTGTGTTTCAAATAATGTCTTCTAATATTTCTTTTGAGAACCCAAAATACTTTTTCTAATCTGGATAAGGTAATTTGTATAATTACAATATAAAAAAAAAAAAACAAACACCCTTTTGTTAAAGAGAACTCATCTGAGTCAGGTCTGGCTTCATCTGTGGTTTTGTGACAGATGTCTTCTCTACCTCTGTATCTCATTTGGGATATATTTACTTCTCTCACATGCAGTGCTCAAATATTGAGGGGCATATGTCTTGAAGATGAACAGAAGCCCTGTACATGCATCTTTCTTCTTCAGTGTGAAATGTTCCATCTCATACTACTTTAGTTTTTGTGTGTGTTAATTTACAGCAGTTTTTTGAAAAATCTGAGAATCTAAAAGGTAAGAAGGTAGGCATGCAGATGTAGTGTCTTATCATGTGCTCTAGTTTTATGATGCAGTGTACTATATTTGTGTTGCATATGAGGATACAGTATCTAACTTCACAGTTTTTCTTGTTAAGAACTTTTGACTTTACAGCAAACTATGGTAGTGCTGATATTTCTTGGAGGGAGTGGGCTTTCAACTGGCTACATATACTGGTCCTTTTGAAATAAATAATTAAACATTTTTTCTGTCTTCCAGGCTATAATTAAAATGTGAAACACCAGTCTGCCTGTTTTCTGTATTTGTTTTTAGCATACTTCACACAAAACAGAACTGTGATTCATTTTTAGTCTGCTGTGATGCATTTTTAGTCTGCTTTTGATGGTGAGGTTTAATAATGCAAGAAGTTTATTCTACTGCAGAAATGCCTGGTTTGTCAGTTTTCTGTTGAAGTGAAATGTCTGAGGCTGTTAACAATCATGTACATGTATGGCAAGACACTGCTTTTATTTTACATTTAGGAGGATTGACATCTCTCCAAGTACCCTGAGGAAGCATACCCGTTTAACGGGTGAAGAGAGAGTCTTTAAGGAAGAAAGTCAAAAAGTAGGTTTTAAGTAAATGTCCTATCTGTGCTTCTAAACTTTAGTCTCATTTTAAATCTCAACTTCATCTCTGGTTTCCTGTATAAAAACAAAAAATTGTATTTATTGTACCTAGAGTACTTGCATTTAGATTTTTTTTTTCCGTTGAGTAAAAGATGTTACCAAGAAGCTGGTTTATGTAAAGTGGTTTTGCTATATTAATAGCATGATACATAAGGTCAAATCTTTTGCCATGCATCCTTCTTGCATGTTTTTTGACCAGTAAGCTGCCCAAAGACAAAGAATAGGTTTGGGGCAGAGGGAAGTACCAAGATGGTCAGTGAGTAGTGTGGTTGAACTACAAAGATGCTTGTACTCTGTTTAAAAACAATTCACCAGAAGAAATGAATACTTAATTATCTCTTCAAACCATGTATTGTTGTGGTCTGTATCATCAAAAACTAGGCACCAATTGGCTTCATGGGAATGCTTGTTTGAAACTGAAATTCTTAGCTGTTCTTTTTTTAGATGTAGCCATTGCATGTAAAGGACAAAGTAAATTTGTGTGCTGAAAAATAGATAAATTCTATCTTTTTATATTTTAATTGATGCACAGCTTGCCTTTTCACTGATATTCTCTTGATGTTTTATTTCAATATTTTGTTGCAAAATATATATTTGTTTACAGGGAGATAAAAAATTAAGGTGTGATTCTGCTGATCTTCGGCATGACATTGACCGACGTAGAAAAGAACGAAGTAAAGAGCGAGGAGACTCAAAGGGTTCCAGGGAATCCAGTGGGTCAAGAAAGCAAGAGAAAGCTCCAAAAGATTACAAGGATTACAAATCTTACAAAGATGACAGGTAAATATTTGATGTCCCTATAGAGGATATTAGCTTCTAATTAGCCTTTTGTAATTGTAAGCTTAATTGCTTTCAATTTTCAATGTATAATGGATCATTTAATTTTAAACAATTAAAATTATTTGTTTTACAGCAAATATGTATTATCTGTCTTTTACACGGCTTATGGTGGATGAGGACAAAAACTTTGGAATAGCAAGCTAACACTGAAAAAAAAAATGACAAATTAATCTGTCCTATTATCCAGGCTACATCAGGAGGTTGGACTTCAATGCAGTACATTTCTATAAACAGTTTGTGTAAGAACTTTGGTTCGTTATGCTTGATTCCGCACTTTTTCAACTCATAACACCCAGAGTATGAGAATTTTACTGATATTTAGGTTTTAACATGGGTGAGAAGGGGAATTTCTAAATTTGTCTAAAGCCAGTGGGCTGTTTTAAGAAAAAAATGTTAGCATATCTCAGTGGATACTGTGTAGAAGTGGTAAGAGTTACTTCAGGTATGACCTTTCTTTGAATGGAATGCTAAAATCTTATAAATTGGGTCAAGTTAATATCACTATGGGGTTACTAAAAGTCTTGCTGTAGGAATTTTTCCCTGCTTTGTACTGTATATATATAAAGTGAATTTTTACTTACACTTCCTGTTTCCCACTTACTTTGACTTTGGTATCCACATTTTCTTCCACTGGCTAATTTCCCTACAGCCATCTATGTAGGGAAGCCCATACCATACCTCTCAACAGTGTGCAAACTGAACTGTGTCAAGTTACTGTAAAACTTTACCTTGAGGGGTTTTTCCCTTTAACTTCTGCTTTTCTGCCTCAGAAGAAAGGCAGATCTTAAAAGTTAACACCATCTCTTCATGGCATCAGAATCTAGAAAAGTTGTATCTTACAGTTTGCAGACTGCTGCTTTCCAACTCACCAGCAATAATATGCATTTAGTGCACTTAAATGTGTCAGAGGAGGCTGGAAAGTGGAAATATACTTCGCTTAATATCTCAAATATGTAACGTGTGACTTTATAACCAGAAGGGGGTTAGTTTTTCATAAAATATAGAGACCCGGTTTAGTATAGCATGTTACAGATTATCTAGTACGTTTAAAATAGCACATAGTATATTTTTTTATTTTTCAGTAAACAAAAAAGAGACCAAGACCGTGCTCGGTCCTCCCCATCTTCCTCCCCATCTTCTTCCTCATCCAGTTCTCGAGAAGAAAAGGATTGCAAGAAAGAAAGAGATGAAGAGTTCAAAACCCACCATGAACAGAAAGAATACTCTGGTTTTGCAGGAGTCAACAGGCCAAGAGGCACCTTTGTAAGTTTTTCTCCTAATCTTCCCCCAAATTATGAACACTTCACCAATGGCAGTCTTGTAAAAAGGAAATGAGGGAGTCTTGCAGAGGTTCACGTTAGGCTAGACTTGAGGTCTTTACTAAACCTGAAAATATTAAGTCTCTTTTTTTCCCCATCACTCTCCAGTAGCAGTTGAATGGCCTATAAATATGCATTAGCATGACATAAGAGATCCTAGCATAAGGGTCTGGGGAACAGGATTTCTTAATTATTCCTTGCTCTTCTGTAATAATGCTGTTTCCTAACAGGATCTGAAAATTCACTGTTCTGTCAATTTTAAGTCTTGGGTCCTTATAGCACTTAGCTCCCTGCAGCTTCTGTTTTTCCCTCTCATGTTGGGTTTGGTTTTGCACTCCTTTGTGTGTAATGCCTGCAACTTTTTAAATAGAGAATGGCACATAATTAAAAATAAATGTCAACCTTGAAACAGCTGTATTGAGGAGATAGTATACTTGTTATTTTTGTGTTTCTTTGGCTTGGACTAGCCACTGAGCATGAAAGTTCATTGATCTACCTCTGGAATGTATTTAACCATTGTGATTTGGAAAGTGGCATGTTGACCACTATAGTCTTCAGAAAAAACTTAAACTTTCAGATTCTGTGTTAATGTAATTATTGATGTATAATTGGGAAGTGTAGATGCATTTGGAAGAACTAGGAATCAATAAAGAAGGCCTTGAAAAATATAGGGAGCACTTAAAAACACCATACAGCCCAAATAAAAAAAAACACAAACCCCAAACAACGCACAAATAGACACCACACACCCACCCCCAAGCAACACAGCAAAACAGACCTCCAAACCACAGCTAAACACACAAAAAAGTTAAAGTTCCATGCAGGTTGGGAAAAACTGTTTTACATAATAAGTAGGACTAATTTCATACTTGAACAATAATTCCTTAATGTAGCCTGTAATTAAGACCAAATAATGCTAAAGTGCAGTGTTTAGTATAAATGTTTAGTCATGCAGAAAATAAGTTTTGAACTACACATAAGGGTGTCTGAAATGCATGTGGCATGTGCCAACACTTGAGGCTTGAATCCTCCATCTAAAAAACTGTAGCTACCTAAAGGAAAATTCAAAGTTCTAAATTTCTAACACTAGAAGTTTATAATTTCCTCCTTTCTTCTTATTTTTTTATATAGTTATGCTATGAAACTATGTGGCATAAGTATATAAATCTCTGGATGGTGTAGGCATCAAATATGACTATCAGCACAATTTCTAGCTGTATAAAATAATGGCACAAACAAAACAGAAGTTAAACAAAAGAGAGCTTAAAACTCCATCTCCTCTCAAGGAGATTTAGTGGGAGAAGATGTGTAATTCATTGAAGCCTTCCTGCTTTATAAAACCGGATTTGTATGTATTGTGAGAGAGGTGCTGCTTTACATGCAATTGAGGTAGATGGGAACTGGAACATTAATAGAATTCTACTCATTTAATTGCTACTGACTGCCAATTTGGTCTGTGCAGTGATAACAGGTTAATGTTCCCTAACAACATACGTGGTCACACACAGGCTTTTGGAACAAAGTGTGTGAGCAGGTGAATCTAAATAGGCCAACTGCTGACTCAGATCTCCTCTTTAGGGATACATCTTGGATGGTATCAAAAAACACAGACCAGGTAGCGTAGGAATGTATTTGTAAATACAGGCTAATAGTGGCTGCGTTCCAGTGAATACTGCTTTGCTTTTGGAGTAAATAAAATGCTTTGGTTTTGAATGTTTCCCCTAACTGGAAGCCTTGGAGAATGTAACATCTTCCCCTTCCCTATCCAAAGTGTTAAGTCAGCAATGGTTTTTCACTAACTTTGGCTGGTACACAATTCTTTTGGATTCTAGGCTTCCCATACATAAGCATCATGAATAGTTTTCAAATATGGACACAGAAGTAAGGATAATTAGAATTTTTCAGTGGCAATGTCATCAATATCCATATCTGAAAGAATTCTGTGTAGCAGCTCTGTTTAAAGTGAGTTCTATATAGAAAATATACATTTGTCTTTTATGTGGTAGTCTTTCTAATAAACCAGCCCATAAAGATAACACCATAGTAGATTTTATGTCCTGTAGTTCTTGACCTGAAAGATGATTTGGTACGGGGAAACATTAATAAAATGGTGAGGAAAACTGTAGATGTTTTTCTTAAAGGGAATCTGATCACAGGACTGAATACCAGGAAATGCTGATACATTTTTTTTCCTCTTTTTTTTAATCCTGTCATAATTCTGTCTGCCCCCTGCCCCTTCCCCCAGGTTACTGTTTGTTGTGCCCTAATTTTGTAAAGCTGTTGGAAGTCAAGAAAGCATATCTTATCTCCTCCCTTGTACAGTTAGTCTGTTGCTTTCCAGATGACTCTCCAAACAATTTTTTGATTTTTTTTTTTTCTCCCTGAGTATTGGATAGGTCTTATGAGCCTTCTGCAGATTGTTTTACAGTCTGTTTGATTTCAGAGTAATTTTAAATCTGTCCAGCATAATTCTGCATTAGACGTTTTGGAGCTTTGTGGAACTAAGTGTTCGTAATACTTACCTTCTGAGTTCTTTAATTATCTATATTTTTGATCTGTTTTATGAAACATGCTTATTTTTAGCAAATAAATTAGCTTCCAGTCATATTTTTGTACTATTACTCTGATGCTGTAGTTCTGTGTTTTTAAGTAGGTTACTTTTGGAAATTGTGTTCCGTAATATCTGCAGTTTTTAGCAGTCTTATCTTCCCAAACTAACCTTTCTTCTTCCCTTCGATGAAGGATATATACTCATTTAACGTTTTCTACAAGCTAAGTATTTACATGCTGAGATAACTGTATACATTACTACTTAGTGTATTCTGAGTTAAGGATGGTTTTTCGTGTGAGACTTCTAGCTGTCCTGATTCAGGGCAAATTTGGGAGAGAACCCTCCAAGGGGTTCCTCTAGAAAACAGATTCAGTCGCTTCCTGGATTGCAGCTTGGCTCACTCAGTCTCTTATCATTCCCTCCAGCTCTGGAAATGCTACAGTCCAGGCCCAGCCTGGTGGGCCACAGGTGCAAGCTGCCGGTGCTCTTCTGGTGCGCTTCGGTGTTCAGTCCAGAGCAGCTTTAAGCAGGTCCAAAGAAAACAGAAAAAAACCCCACAGTCCAGGGAACCTCTCTGCCTCAGCTAGCTAAAACTAACTAAAAGCAAAGGAGAGCTCTGTCCCGCTCTCTGTCCGTCCACAGACACCGCAGTCCAGGAGCAGCAATGTCGAGGAGTGAGTGCAGTGTCTGAAAACAAACTGTGCGCTTCTCTCCCCCCTTTGCTCTCAGAACCAGTCTTAAAAGTGTAAAGCTAATTATCCAATATAAACAGAGCAGACAGATGGGGATACAAGCATCATATAGCCAACCCATGACACTAGTGTAGCATTTCAAAACCCCAGTAATTCATTATAAAGAATATTTAAAACACTTCTTTTCAGTTTAAGCATTGCTGCTCTGCATAGTACATGCTACTGAGTTTTTTCTGAGTAAAGAATTTACTCATTTGAAATGTAATTTGGCCTAAGATACATTCTTGAATCTCAGTTAAAAATGGTTGAGTAACACACAGTGGGTATACTCCTGCAAAAACTGCACTGTTAGTATGTATTCCAGAATCACCTTTTCATAAATGATTCAATTGACTCCATAAATACCTTTCTTTTCCCCCTGACAGTTTGGTCCATGTTTCAGTCTAGCTTTCCTCCTGGCTTTTTGTCTGAACAGCTTCAGAAGCTTCTTGTGACCTTTTGTTCCAACACACTGGTTTACTAGCAGTCAAATTTCTTTTCAGTGGTTGTGAGTGAACTTATGCCAAGAACTCAAATGTGTTTCAATTAAGTTTAATAGAATCATTATTTCAAAATGAATGCTTGAATATATTACTTAAGGTAGTATGTGAATTTGAAAATGGTTTTTCCACTTGCAGATACTGTAATTAAGCACAGAAAGTATTTTCAGTAATAGAGAACTTGACTCTATATTGTGGTGTTGTGTAAATGGATTAAATGACATCTTGGTTAATCAGTTTCGAATTAGGGGCAGAGGAAGAGCCAGAGGAGTCTTTGCTGGAACAAATACTGGTCCCAGCAACTCAAATACTACTTTTCAGAAGAGACCGAAGGAAGAGGAATGGGATCCTGAATATACCCCAAAAAGCAAGAAATACTTCTTGGTGGGTGTGGAGAACTCGATGTCTTATGCATGCTTTTTTTTTGTTTTCAAACTTTCTACAAGTGTAGAAGTAGCATGCATGTATGGACAGGGGCAAGAGTAACTGTGAGAATATCAGGATGGCTGTAGTGGTTGGTTCTGCTTATCTTTCATCTTTCTGTAGCAGGCTGGCAGTAACTGACGCCTGACATGGAATTTATCTTCAAAAACTTCATCAGGGAATGGGGAAGAAGGCAGGTTCAGACAAAATTTATTAAAACCCAACTTTAAACCAGAAAGGCTTGTGCTGCGTTTTCCTGGGTTTATGTATGACATTTGAGACTTGCCTTAGATTGGTCTGGAGGTCTACAGAAGTGAAAGATCAGGAAAAGCTGACAGTATTTATGGATTTTCATAGGCAGACTGTTAATGAGCAGTTCTTTGCTCTGAGTACTGTGATAGTCATAAGAAAATCACCACAGTTTTGATGCCTTTCTCCCATCTGGATTATGAAAGGAGGACCCTTGATGTAATCACTCTTAAGTAGTGCAGTACACTGGATGTGTGGCCTCTCCTCCAGTTATTTCTGTAACAATGCAGACTTTGAAGGATATTGTGCCATCATTGAAAATGCCTGTTGCATTATAGCTTGTCATAAATATGTTTACAGGTAACTAAAAATAATGCAGTCACAATTCAGATATTTCATTAAGGAGTTCTGTCTTCGTAGACATATCTAAACTTTTCTGATCTGTAAACAGAGATGTGATAATCTATTATTGATATTAGAACAATCAATTTTAGCTATTAAACTTGAATTTCTAAAAATATTTTAAATTAAATAAGCTGCCCTTCAGCTACTTCTGTGTAAGCTGTATTATATGGGTGTGATATGTATTTAAGAGTTCAGACTTCTTTCCAAATCACAAGTTAAAAAACTCATATGTTGAAGCAAGAGTACCTCATCATTCTAAATGGAAACTTTTTTAATATTAAATAATACTTTGTAGATTTCATGCAGTGTTTGAAATGATTGTGAGAACATACCTAACTATATAAGGCTGTATTTGGTAGCTAGACAGCAAATTTTAGGCTTATTAACCAGAGGAACTCAACTAATGTTTGGTAATGTTAAACAGTTTGAACTTAATTTGCCCTGCGTTGTGCTGGTGGGGCAGATTTTCTGAAAACTGCCTTCAGTTACCTCTTCTTATGAAGTATGAAGAACTCCCTTTGTGCTCAAGTAACCTAGCACTTTCCTAGAGCTTCTTTTAAAGTAACAATTTTTTCCCCTCAAAACTGGTAATTCTTAATTCTGACTGAGTGTAAGTTACAGACAAGTGATTTGTTACTAACATTTAGGTAGACCCACAGTGAATAAAGGCTCTTCAAACAATTGTGTTGTGGTTTTAGTTAGAGCATTATGCCTTTTAAGAATAATTACAATCTGAAGAGAACTTTTTAACATTTACTTTGTTTTATACATTTGCTATAGCGTACTAACATTATGGGGTACATTTAAGAGGTGTCTAACCTTACTTTTTTTCTGATGTTATTGTAGCATGATGACAGAGACGATGGTGTGGATTATTGGGCCAAAAGAGGAAGAGGCCGTGGTACTTTCCAGCGTGGCAGAGGGCGTTTTAACTTCAAAAAGTCAGGTAGCAGTCCGAAGTGGACACATGACAAATATCAAGGGGATGGGATTGTGGAAGATGAGGAAGAAACAATTGAGAATAATGAAGAAAAGGACAGACGCAAAGAGGAAAAGGTAAATTGTTCAGTGAAATGCAGATTAGATGGTTCATCTTGCACTATGCCAAGTAATTGGCTGCATGTAGGGATCACTTTAAAGGTTTTGGAGTTTGATTATTAACAGTTTACAACAAGACTGTTTTCTTTCTTTCCACAGGAATAACCTGGAAGAACGTTGTAGCTGAAAGAGCAGCTCTTGCACCACCCACACAACATTTTTAATATGTTTTTTTGTTGTCAAATGAATGTAAGCATTTTACTTAAATTTTACTGTTGGAAAGTAGTTTAGAGAGATTGTTTTCGTTTTAAGCCTTTAGAAAAAAATCATGATATAGTAAACTATGTTAATGATCGTACAGGTAGAAAGTAAAATATTTGTAACAACTTTTAAGAAATTTTACTGTTTGTTATATGCAGTGTAATTCTGCTTTGTCCAAATATATGGTCAAGTACAACTCTAAAAGTTTTGATTCTCCCCTATGTCTGTGTTTTATTCTGAAGTAAACTTACAGCTCTGCACACCTAAAATCTTGGAGCAGCATTTTTTATAAACTATCACTACTTCTCTGTTGCCTTTTTATAAGAACTGCATTTAAGGGTTATCCAGTCACAGTATAAGTACAAACAGTTGTGCAAAATGCTGATTGTATGTTAGCTCATGAGAATCACATCTACATAGTGATAAACCTGGATTCTTATTTCACCCTGCAAGGGTGCAGCAAGCATTTTACTTAAGCAGTGAAATCATCACTCTTCATTAGTAGCCTAAGAAATACATATGCATATACAAACTACAGTGAGTTTCAAGGGTATTTTTTCATAGCTTAGTCATCAGCAGAACACTTAATTTGGTGGCAGTATCAATCTAACTTCTTTTTTAGCAGTTTCTATTTACATATTGTTAGAATTGCCTCTTTAATTTCTCTATGTGAGGTTGCCTCTCTGGGTGTGTAATCTGGCAAGAGTGAGTCATTCACATGTACAACATTTAAGTTAAAGTGAGAGAGCAGGGCAGGAGCAGGTGGGAGGAGAGAAACAAAACACCACAAAATCTCTGAAAAAGCAAAGAGATGTTAAAACCTGAATTGGTAAATATAATTCATATATACCAGAAGTGTGAGAAATGAATCTTACTTTCTTCAACACTGATTTCTAATAATTGTGCTGCAAGAATCTTTGTAGCCGAAGTGCAGATATTAAGGGGATTTTGGTTGGTTTGTTTTTTGTTGTTGTTTTATGGGGGGTTTTTGGTTTGTTTAAAAAATAACAAACCCTCAAGCTTAGTTTTTAGTGGTAGTTACACACTTAACCTCTAGAATGTTAAGGATTAAAGTAATATACTTGAATTACCAGAACAAGGACATTCTAATACAAGATTACTTTGTTTCTCTTTCTCAAAACGCTGCAGATAAACTAAATCTTAATGTTATGTGAAGTTAAAAGTGTAGTTGTTCTTATTCACCCCTTTGAAAGGCATAATATCTTTACAAGTAGGAAAAAAGAAAGGAAAAGCTTTGATAGAGGTGTTTGTATTAAATACCTATATAATGTATGCCTTCTTATTTGTTTTACTCCTAGTAAGTAGTTAACTCCCCTATACAAATTAAACACTAGAAGGAAGGAAAACAAAACAATCCTCACTGTAGCTGAAGAAAGTGTATTTTAGGTTGTGCTAATTTGCCAGCAGCTGTGTAGAAGGGGCAACAGGAACAATACTTGCCTCTCAGTAGCAGTTAGTTAATAAAGTCATTCCCTCTTTATGTTTTAAAACATTTAGCCCAAGTAAACTGTTGTTGCCATATTTGCTTTTACATGTGCAGTGCATCTTTTAATAGCTGTTTGAAATGATAAACAGAGTATTCTTTGGACTTCTCAGCAAAACTCGGATTTTGTGTATATTAAATTAGAATAAGTGAAAAAGGGAGCAAAGCAAACTTGACATCAAAGTCTTTCCTAATTAAGTAAAATTAAATATCAGTCTAAAACTGAACAGGATCAAGATACACTTGAGCTGTCATGACCTTACAACAGGTAATTTGTATCATTTATGTCAAGTTGAAAGTAGATTGTCAGGGTCTGTGTGTCACAAGGCAGTACAATTCCTGCAAGACAAGGCAGATTTAAAGTTTGTACTTCAGCTGAATATCCAAGGAGATCTGGTAGAGATTGCTCTGGTAATGGCATTTGATCCTACAAACCTGTCTAGAGGTTAGATGATAAAAATCCATTTTTTTACAATCCCTAATTTCATTGTAGTTTATCAGAAATGTAATTTGATTACAGAACACACTATGACAGCCACTAACATTTATTTAAATAAGCTAATTCAAATTAAGAGTTAATGTAGTCAAAGATGCAAGTTGCAGTCTGTCTCTGAGAGATCTGTAAGAAACAAAGTGAGAGAGGAGTTCACTTTTTTAATCCAAGTCTGATGCTTCAGCACTTGTCTTTTGACATGAACAGTGAATTTTCACTGCTAAGAAAAAACATTTGTGAGGCTTTCACTTGGTGCTGCTAAGGTAGTTGTATGAGCTGTGAATGGAATTTCAGTGCATTTCGCATTTCTCTTGTTAAAAGGTGAAGACCATCACTGGTGGTACAGGGGAGAAAACGGTGTAGACATTATGCTGGTATAAAATGTTTAACTATCTTTTGAATTTAGCTACTCATTCTGACTCGCTGCTCTCCAGCAATGAAGCACTTCTTAAGGACACCGTGCAGAGATGAAGTGGATTCGCAGAGTTTGAACTGATCCCTGCAGTTCAGATAAAATCAGGCATACATTTTACCAGGCAAAAAAAAAAAAAAGGCCACCAACCAACATGGAATCCAGTAGCTGAACTATTTGTACAGTGTCCATTTAGTTTCTTGGTTTGGAATTAAATGTCACATCCTCTTCCCTCCCAGGAACAATCAGGCATTACTGTAACAGTGGGCAGCTACATAAGAGTAAAGCTTTCCTGCAATTGTTTTGCTAGTACTTCAAAAGGAGAGTGATCCCTGAGCTTTGGCTCAGCTCCAGAGGTACAGCAGCAGCATTAAGCCCTGTGTCACTTCTAGTTTTTTAAAGCTGGCCTGTCATGAGATGCTTTTGTTCAGATTGTGCAGGTCCCTTCTGGACTGTTCAGAGCTGTACCTGCTGACTTGACTTGAAGCATTTCTGTAGAGTTCCCAACTGCACCTCTCATTCGGTGCAGCTGGTTACTGGTGCTGCAATGAAACTAAATTGCCTCGGTTTTGCTGCTGCTTGAGAGACCCTGTCTCTTCCTGGCTTTCCACTAGAGCTGTGTGTTCCCATTTCTTTAAGGCAAACATTGTAGTACAATTTTTCTAAATATCCATTAAATAAATATCCATTCTACCCTTTCTCTCCTCAACCTTAAACCTTCCTAGTCCCCTGAACCAGCTGTATGCTGTTACTGCAGTGTGTATTACCAGTACTGCTACTCCTTTGGTCTTAGAGAATGGATCCACCTGACATGGATAACAGTAGCCAGCAATGCTGCTGTAAGAACTCCAGTACTAACAATAGGAACACCGACTGCACAGACGAGGGAAGGTGATCTCCAAGCATGGACCGCATAGCTGGAGGAAAAGGATATGTCTTCTCTTAGAAGCACTTTTAGCACTGCTGACTTTCTTGAAGTTTTCAATTCTTGAGGAAAACAGTAGAAATCTTATAAAGATGAAGGCAGTGCAAGATGAAAGAGCAAGTGCAGAATTTCAAAGCCAGGTTTTGAAGTGAAGTCAGTGTAGTCAGGTGTTACTGGGCAGTTGTTGCATTGAGGGTACTTTGTGCATTTGTTTTAGGTCTGTGAATGAAGTAGTTACGAGTCTGCTATATAGAAGACCTGAACCATATCAGTGTAGCTCCTTACCGTTAATTCAGTGAGTTAACAGGCTCTGGTGCATTTCTTCTGTTGCTGCGGCCTGTGTTCGCAGAGGCAGAAGCTGCCTTTCTTTGAGTACAGTTCCTTGGTCAGCGCGAGCTGGCCGCGGTGCGCCATAGTCCACGCGCCTGCCCTCATTCCCGGGAGCGCTCCCTGGGAAGCGGGGCGGGCCCGGGCAGCGCGGCGTTCAAACCGCTCCTCCCGACACCCCCCGCGACGGGCCCGCCCCGGCGCTCATTGGCTCTGCCGCGGCACTGCCTGCTTCCTATTGGCGGGGCTGCCGCCGTGCCCCGCCCCCAGCCGCGGGTGGTGCGGGCGCAGGCGGCTTCGCTCGGGGCGTGGTCCCCGCCCTCCATGGCGCTGCTGCTGCTGCAGCTCCTGCGGCGGCTGCTGCGCTACCTCGGCTGGCCGCACCACCAGGTGGGACCCCGCGGCGGCTGCCTCCGCCCGGAGAGCCGCTCGGGCGGGGCGTCTCGCCTGCAGCCGCTTGGCTCGGCGGAGGGAGGGAAGGTCGGCACCGCGGACGGTAGGGCGGCTTCAGCGCCCGCCTTGCCCGCAGCCGGGCTTGTTGGAAGACGCTGCCCGCACGGGGGGACGCGTGGGGTCGCTGCCCTGACACAGCCGGTCAAGTGGCGCTTCTTGCCCTGTAGTGAACGTAACAAAGCCAGTGGTGTTGGCTGCTCGTGCTCTGCTGTTTCAAATGAAGGGCCCCGTTCCGCTGCCCCAGTAGCGCTAGTGCCGTGTGTTCGGAGCCGGAGCGGAGCGGCGGGGAAGCTGGAGGAGGCGCTGGTGCCGTGCCAGGGCTGGTGCTGGAGCGTGCGGTCCTGGGCAGCTCCTCTGGGCGCTGCTGCGGCTTGTGCTTCTGAGATAATCCTAGCCTTGGTGGTGGGAAAACAACGGGTATCTCCAGGAGTGCTGATTTGCCTGAGCTGCCCTCATCACTTTCTGGTTCCGTTGTTGGAAGCTGTTGGTTTTTTTTGACAGGCAGCGTTTTTTGAAATTCACGTGTTTGGCAGCAGTATCAGCCGTGCTCTCGGGACATGCCTTCCTTCAGCAGTCTCCTCAGGAAGGCATTTCCAGCAGTTATATGCTGTCATAAGGAAGTATCAGGCCAAGGTATGTTAAATTTATTTCACTGTTTGCTAATTGTTCTTTCCCAAGACTTACGCAGCTGCATGTAGTTAATTAAATGAGCACTTTTGTCAGTATCTCAAGATATTTGCCTTTGTACGTCTTCAAAATATTCGGTCTTTTGGCAGTGTTTTAGATACTGTCATACCAGTGAAGGCCTCTTTGGACTTTCAGCTTGAGGAGAGCACTGAAAAGTTAGGTTAACCAAACTGCATTATATTTAATTACCTGTAATGTGGAATAATGAAATAACTTAGATTGAAGTGAGATTAAGAACTGGGGCTTTGATCTTGCTTCTCAGGTTCAAAGGTTTTCTGCTTTTTAGGTCACATCTGTTTGCCAAAAAAAAGAATACGGATCTACTCGAAGTGTTGTCCGTAGACTTGGGACAATTCTTTCCTTGGAGCCCTACCCCAGACCTTATTTTCAAGTAAGAAATTTATTGTCATGTGTATACTTCGCCTGTTTGTATTTTCTTGTTTCTTAATTTGATGATAA